GACCGTGAGTCGAAAGACGTCAACAGTTTACATAGGACACATGAAGTATATTCGAATACATGGTGAAAGATGTTGCATAGTGCGATACTGGTTCTGAAGTGCGAGTCTTTTCCCCTGAGGGTTTATCACTTCATGTATTGAGTGAGACCGAGCACTGTCAGCTCACCGGTAATCGCCTTCGCAGGGTTAGAGTCTCAGCCCGTATCGTAGCGTCAGAAATTAAGGTGAGTTTATAATTACATAGAGGGATTGTGGTTGGGGTGTTGTGCCTGAACTTGAACCCTTTCAGGGTCTCGGTATCTTGTCATGGCAGAATTGAGCGTTCATAGCAATTGGATGAGAACTTTGACGATATACTACGTAGGCTTTGTCTCACCGCCAGAGGGAAGTGTTATTGCTCATACTACTAAGTTACTGGCTGGGCTTGCAACATATGTTTGATTCATAGTCGATTTCACAGAGGGATCCGAGTGTGCCTTGCCTATGGTTATATGTCAGCTTTCCCTGAAGACTGCATCGCAGGTCGAGTATACTAAGTAACTGCCAAGGAAGGTAGTCTAAACAGTTTGGCATCTCGGTCCCTGGCTTGCCATATCCGCTCAGGACGAACATACATCTGAATGGTGTCCTTTAACCCCTTAGACCTCAAGGATGAGGTTGTGGGAAGTCCATGAGTTATTACATTCTTGCTACAACGCACCATTTATGAGCAGATAGAGAGTGAACAAGCGAGAAGGCAAGTGAACCATAGCCAGGGAATATATAAATCATGAGACTTCGCATCGAACTTCGTTACCAGAACATATGGATGCAACATCAATGATCTTGACTGAAAGCCAAGGCAACTGAAACTGAGACAGCAATAGATACTAAACTCTTCTTCTCCCTTAGAGGTCTTTTGATCGTGAGTCTACGAGACAGAAAAGGAGTGCATGAACCTGTAAGAACATCCTAAAAACCCCCACAAGTGTGAAAAGGCTGGTCCTTGACATCTAAGGCCAGTCAGGTAATTCTGACGAAGACGCTCTTATCATCTCAGGAACAGTTTTAAAGTGACAGGAACCTCCACTTGAGATTACGATTTGCTATAAAGCGATACAAATGGTAGACTGCAGTATTGGTTGAAGGTCGAGCATAAGTTATAGGGCTGAAAGTGAAGTCGGATACCTTTGAGCCTTGAAGATGGCAGGGCGGAATTAGTTAGTAGAAGTGATGGCAGGATTACACGAGTTCAGGATCCGGCATAACTTTTTATTCTTCTTTCCATTGATTCGCCATTGTTGAGTGGCTGCAAAGAGCTACAACCCATGAAACTCATATAAAGATGTACAGGTTTGCCCGTCAACTGCTCCGCTATGAATATGGATAACAGCACTAGAAACTTGAAATGACTATAAATACAAATGATCGTCCGGTCAAACCGGCTTCCAGCATATGATACAAGAACTCGGAGTTCCTTTGCACGCCAACCCAGTCCGAATTGGCCGCAGGGTAAGAGTTCGAATTTCGCGAGCCATTGATGGATCATGAGGATATAGCAATCACCACTTCACTCCAAAAAAGCTAAGTTTCTTGCCGCCCTTAGAGGATGACGCATCCTCTTGCTCAAGATAGATTCTCTCGTGGCCTTTGATGTCGACAAACAGATATTTGTACTCAAAGTCACTATGGCCGCGGTATTTGACCATGTGAAGCCGTGCAATACCGTTGTTCTTAGGCCCATCAACCTAAAGTTGTTAGTCTCTGGTTAATACAATCGTATTGGACGTACATAGAAATGCATCATTAGATGCTGGTCTCCCCGAGCATCTGTCGTTTCCGTAGATCTAGCCCAGTCAGCAATTGGACAGGTTTATGAATGAGTGTCAAGCGTACGCAACAGGACGTGCCCTCCTCCACTTGTTGAATGTCTCGTCTCCATGTGCTGTAATCTTCTTGGCATCGCCCATAAGGTCGATTATACGAGGATCACGTTTGATCTTGTCGACTGCGCGGTTGAAGTTGGAGATCTTGCTATCGGGGGAGAAGACGTCTGTCCAGAGAAAGTACCCTACACCGCCCTAAAAGAAGTTCAAGGTTAGTTAATGCAACTTATATGTGCAACAGCAAAGCTACTTACAGTGAGCACGAGACCGACGAGGATCATGCCAAAGTTGAAGCTCTGCTGCGTCGCTCTCGCCGCCTTCTCTCCCACCGAAAGCTCTGTCCATGGTACATATCCATTATCGTTGAACGGTGTCACTGCTCTTCGCTTCGATTTGGAGCTTTGAGGCGCTGCTCCTAAGCCTTGTTGTGTCGCATAGTATCTCGAGACGTGGAAAGGCCGTAGTGTTGATGGGATGCTTCGAAAGGCTGTTGATCCGGTCGCGATGAGATTTGTCGTCGTCGTTTTCATCCTGGCGATTCGACAATAGCCATTGTACAAATACAATTGCCTTAATTGATTGCGAGTCAGTTAAACTGTATGATCTAGTTGTTACCAAGCTCAAGTTGCAGCGTTATTGCGGCTCCACCGCCGGGCAGAATTCGAGGTGGGGTTGCCAATTATGACCAAAAGGAGACTAGCGTCCGTCGATATGCCACCTTATCGACAACTGCCCTTGACTACACTTCTCCTTAATTCTTGACTCTGTCTTGTCCTGTCCTGTCTTGTCCTAGCAATACAAAATACCCCCATTCCAATTCTGTCCTCTCTTTGACACGTCGCAAACACGCTAGGATATAACTCCTTGTCGCGGTGCCGAGACCTCTTCTGTTACTTCCTTTCTGTGTCAACTCTATACTCCCGCCTTACTACGGCCTAATAGTCAAGATGAGCGCCCTTGCGACAAAGCAGCAGTCGCTCAAGATCTTTGAGAAGTTGAAGACTAAGCCTGCGAACAAGGTATGTACCTAATTAGTTATTTTTGCGCAATCAGCAGAGACATTAGCTGACCAGTGCGCCTACTATCAGATCTGCTTCGACTGCGGCCAAAAGAACCCGACATGGACATCCGTCCCCTTTGGCATCTACCTCTGCCTTGACTGCTCCTCCAACCACCGAAACCTTGGTGTTCATATCTCATTCGTGCGATCAACAAACCTCGACCGTACGTAGACCCCAGCACATTCACATCTCCCACAGAATCGACTTCAGAGCTGACGAGTTGGAACAGAGTGGCAATGGGACCAGCTCCGAGTTATGAAGGTTGGCGGCAATGAGTCTGCCACCAAGTTCTTCCAGCAGAATGGCGGTACTGCGGCGCTCAACAGTAAGGATCCTAAGACGAAATACCAGTCCAACGCCGCCACCAAGTATAAGGATGAGCTCAAGCGCCGCGCTGCGCGAGATGCCCAGGAGTATGTTTCTATGTCGCAAATAATACTACCCCTGATTTCAGCTGACATGTGTCTAGTTACCCCAACGAAGTTGTTATTACTGATGCTACCGACGACGGCGCCGCTACCCCTGCTGGCGAGCCCGATGACGACTTCTTCTCTTCCTGGGACAAGCCTGCTATCAAGCGACCTACACCTCCTGTCTCTCGCACCGGAACCCCCCCTGTCGTCGGCCGCACTCCCTCTCCCTTCTTGAACTCTGGTAACGGCAAGGATATCGCTCGTACAGCTTCGCCTCTGTCCCGATCTTCCACTGGCGACAACAAGCCTGCCAGCCGAATTACTACATCTGCCGCTCTACGCAAGACAACCACTTCCACCGGTCCCCGAAAAGCCAATGTTCTTGGTGCCAAGAAGACTACCAAGCTGGGCGCAAAGAAGGTCACCAGCGACGTGATTGACTTTGATGAGGCAGAGCGCAAAGCCAAGGAAGAGGCTGACCGAATTGCGAAGCTCGGCTATGACCCTGATGCTGAGGAGGATCCCGCAACCAAGAATGCCTCTGGATCTGGTGCCGCCATCATCTCTCCCACTCCCGTCAGCCCCAGCCGCGGCACAAGTTCATCGCATACTCGCCAGAAGTCTGATGCTGAAGTCGAGCGATTAGGAATGGGCATGGGCCGACTTGGATTCGGACAGATTGGTGGTCCCAAGGCTGCTGCTGCTCCCAAGAAGAACGCCGGAGGCTTTGGTTCCGTTGGACCTGTTAAGGCTGCTGCTGTTGGTAGGGTTTCCAACGAACATAAATACATAAAATGATACTAACTCGATGGCAGATGACTCTGAGCGATATGCTCGCGACAAGTTCGGCACCCAGAAGGGTATCTCATCCGACGAGTTCTTCGGAAAGGGCGCCTACGACCCCAACTCTCAGGCTGAGGCCAAGACCCGACTCCAAGGCTTCGAGGGCGCAACCGCCATTTCATCAAACGCGTACTTTGGCCGACCAGAGGACGAGCCCGAGGAGGAATACGGCGATCTTGAGTCAGCCGCCAAGGACTTTGTTCGCAAGTTTGGTATCACAGCTGGTGACGATCTTGAGAACCTCACACAAATGGCTGGCGAGGTGTCCTCACGACTCCAGGGAGCCATTCGATCATACCTCGGGAACTAAACAAACTTCTCCCTGTTAGTTCAAGGTTTGGGCGTGCGTGACTGTTTCTCAAGCTGAGGAGCGTCTTGTTGGTGAAAAAGCAGCAGATGAGAAGAACAACCAAAAGAGGCATGCGCTTGTTCGATTGTCACTATCGAGCGAGAATCGGCGCACGGAGAAGATGCTCTTTGGCATGAATCTGGGGTTGGGATGCTTTTTGGAGCTGGCGTACATGTGAAGTCAAAGTTGACTGCTTGGTTACTCGAAGTATGAAATAGATTTGATGTTTTCCTAGTTTATGAAATCAAAAACGTATCATTTTGGTTCATTTTGGTTATTCGTGTGCATGGAAGGAAGTGAAGTGAGATTTGCAAAGATGGATATCCATTGTTCAATGAGACGTTATGAGGAATGCTAATTCAGTTCAATTGATGCTGCTAATGGTGAATCCAAGCAGACTATGCTCGTAGTCTACAAATATATTAAAAGTTCAAGGATAAATGAAAAGACATGGTATCTTATTAGTTCTTTACAGCTTAGCAATCATCTTGTTGCCCCTTTGCAACCAGGCAACAGCGTCGTCTACGAACTCATCCACAACAGCCTTGGCAGGCTTCTGCTCGTTGACAACAGCAGCGCACTTGCCCATCAGGTAAGGTCGGTACTTGTCCAACAGATCCTCATCGTCGTCGCTATCATTATCACCAGCAGCCTCGGCGAGCTTGTCGAGATCGGCCTCGTAGGGAATAACACCCTTGGAGACGAGCTCCTTAATCTCGGCCTGACGGTTGGTCTCCCAATCATTGATGTAGTCGTTGTTACGGACACGCATGGGACGGCCGGTCCAGATGATGGTGCGGATGTTGTCGTCATGGCCAGATGTGCGGACAGCCTCCTTGTGAGCCTTGGGGGCACCAGCCTCATCAGTGAGGATGAATCGGGTTCCGACCCAGACGGCGCCAGCGCCCATCATGAGCGCAGCGGCGAGGAGCTGGCCGTTGTGAATACCACCAGCAGCGATGACCTGGACGGGGCCGCCAGTGAGAGGAGACTTGTGCTTCTTGCAGATGTCCACGACAGCGGGGATGAGGACAGTTGTGGGGATATCGCCAGTGTGGCCACCACCCTCACCACCCTGAGCGCAAATGATATCGACGCCGAGGTCAAGGCACTTCTGGACGTGCTTGACGTGACCGATCATGTTCATGTAAACAATGCCATTGGCGTGGAGCTTGTCGACGACAGCCTTGGGGGGAACACCGACGGCAGAGACGAAGAGCTTAGCGCCCTCCTCGATGATAATGTCGACGAGCTCGTTGAGCTTACCCTTAGTGTAATCGTAGCTGTGGAATCATATGTCAGCGCTTTGTTCGTTACTAGTAAGATCTGCATGTGATCACGAAATTTCGAGGCCGAGGGCCCCGAATTTGGGGAGGACGTACTTGGTCTTGCGGGCGCTGCCGCCGACCTGGGGAAGGAGCAGATCAACACCGAAGGGAGCGTTCTTGTCGTTAAGGAAGCTCTTGAGCTCAGCGATTTGCTCGCGCAGCATATCAGGAGTGTATCCGACACCACCAATAACGCCGAGACCACCAGCGTTGGAGACAGCGGCAGCGAGCTTAGGGCCGGCGGCAACGTTCATGCCTGCGAGGAGGACGGGGTGTTGGATCTTGAAAAGATCGGTGATGGGAGTTCGGAGCTTCTCTGTAAGGGAGCATGTTAGCGATCGTTGGGGAATCTGGGGATTGTGGTGATGACGTACGTGGTGAGGCCATGGTGTCTGCTTGTCTGTGTTGTCTTGTCTAAATGATGCTATCGTGTCGCGACTGAAGAGAACTGGCTTCTTGCTTCTGGTGGTGAAATTAGGAGCAAGATTGATTGATAAAGAAACAGAGAATCGCAAGTTGGAGAAGAAATCCGGGGTATAAAAGGATCAGCTGATAGAGAGGGGGTTTTACAGGGAAAGAGGTTAAAAGGATGGTTCGCGATGGCAAAGGAGGGACCACATGCCGAGGTCTGGAGTCTCGTCCCAGGGCAGGAAGAGTGTGGAGTAGGAGTAGTTCCCGCATTGGGGATAGTGTCACTTTGAATCCGGGGAAGATGCCTCGGGACGAAAGAGGAGAAGTTGTTAACAATTTTGAATGGAGTGAAAATGGCCTGACTGTTAATAACGGAACTCGGTAAAGCTGACGCACCTGCTAAAATCATTGTGCGGTTCTCTTCATTCTTCTGCCTATTCTCAACCTACCCAAAATGGTAAACTTAGTAACCTATCGAGGTAAGCCCCCATGTCCAACGTCTCTGACATGTGCTCGGTGCTAACGACAGAAACAGTCAGCAAGACCCCGTGACATGAATCATGACGACCACCTCACATGGAAATCAATGCATCTCATTCCCGTACAGTCAGCTCGGAAATGCATGAATTCAACCGCGCAGCCCTATGCCGCTCTCGTCAGCTTATTTTCTCCGTCGAAAGTATAGCAAAACCCGCTATAGCCTCATACTCAGCCTTTTAGACTTTAACAGCTGTTCGCACCATTAAGACACTATTCCCACCCCTGGTGTCTCTTTAACGCAAATTTTCTCGGCCTCAATCCTCCGAACTCACTCAACAACACAACATGTTCTGAATCGTCAGTCATGTAGCAGAAGCAGCACCACTCACCATGAGACAACCTCTTCTCTCATCGCGACCGCTCATTCAAAGCCTCAGAAGTACCGGCCACAATGCTTCTCCTAGCTCTGTTCTTGCTTTCGCCACTGCGTCGCGATGTTCGTTTACGTCAACACGGCCTCACCAGCGATCTTATGTCCATCATGCGCGCCTTCGTCCCCTTGTGAGATGCAACATGCCTGAGCTTAAGCGTAATGCCTGTGGATGTGCTTGCGCAAGTGGAGGTGGCTGTGGGAGCAGCGGACCGCAAAAGAGGACTGCATATATCGCTCTTGGAAGCAATATGGGGGACAGAGTCGCTGAGATTGAGCGGGCATGCAATGAGATGGACCGCCGAGGAATCAAAGTCAAGAGGACCAGTAGCCTCTGGGAGACAGAGCCCATGTATGTTACCGACCAGGATCGCTTCGTCAATGGCGCTTGTGAGGTATGTATATCAAAAACGTCCGTTCGCGTCCCCGCGCTGACCAATCTTCTAGGTTGAGACAGAACTTGACCCTATAGCTCTTCTAGATCAACTGCAAGCCATTGAGAATGATATGGGACGAAAGAAGGTTATCGACAAGGGTCCGCGTAACATTGATTTGGACATTCTTTTGTATGGCGACGAAAAGGTTGACCACGAGCGGCTCAAGGTTCCCCATATTGGTATACTGGAGCGAGAGTTTGTTCTAAGACCCCTGGCCGAGTATGTTGCACAGAAAAACACAATCGAGGTATTCTAACGGCAAGTTGCAGACTCATCCCAGCAAAATCATTGGATCCAACGAAACCGTGGAAGCTCATTCAGGATAATCTAAATGAGCTGCCTCTTGGCGAGCCATTGTCTTCCATGACACCGCTTTCTTCGACGGCAGGTTCTTTGACGCCTCTTGCTGCAAAGCGCAAGACCCATGTCATGGGCATCCTCAACGTGACGCCGGATTCGTTTTCAGATGGTGGCTTTCATGATCGAGATAACCTTGCTCAGACCATTATGAATATGGTCAAGAACGGAACTTCGATTATTGATGTTGGCGGCCAGTCAACTGCCCCTGGTCGACCAGAAGTATCAGCCGAGGAAGAAGCATCTCGCGTTGTGCCTGCTGTTCAACTTATTCGATCGCTTCCCGAAGCCCGTGATGTGGCTATCAGCATTGACACGTATCGTGCATCCGTTGCTGAGGAAGCTATTGCAAGTGGAGCAGATATCATCAACGATGTTTCGGCTGGCCTTCTGGACCCAGATATGCTTTCTACCGTCGCTCGCCTGGAGAAAACGATCTGTCTGATGCATATGCGCGGCACACCGCAGACCATGACAAAGTTGACCTCGTATCCAGACGGGCTTATTCCCACAATAGCATCTGAGCTTCTCGAGCGCGTAGCAGCGGCCGAGGCAGCGGGTATCCGGCGGTGGCGCATGATTCTGGACCCGGGTATCGGCTTCGCCAAGACGGGAGAGCAAAACCTCGAGATTCTTCGACGGCTGGAGGAGCTGCGATACTGGCCGGGGCTTCAAGGTCTGCCGTGGCTTGTTGGCTCGAGCCGGAAGGCATTCGTCGGGAGGATCACGGGAGTCACGGAGCCGAAGCAACGGACATGGGGCACGGCGGCGACGGTGGCAGCGGCGGTTCAGGGCGGTGCGGATATAGTGAGGGTACACGACACGCAAGAGATGGGCATGGTGGCTAAGATGGCTGATGCTATCTGGAGGGTATGAGTACGGAAAGTGCAGTTAGTTGTCTACGGTGTGTGGTGTTTTGTCATTGTTGAATATGCATGAATATAGATGGGAGGAGACAAAATGGAAATGCATATGCTGAAGGGGCATCTAAATCTAATTATTCCACGGTGTCCTTAATATCAACATTTTTACTTCTATTTATATGTAGCATCGTCTGTTTTTTTCTTCTTTTTTTTTTTCCCCCCAAAATCACATCACATCATTTTCGTTAAACTGACTCGTGAATGAAGAGTCGCATTCCTTTTCTCACGTTATACTGCCATATATCAGAATCTCGCGTCCTTGCGAGTCACACCACCCTAGACCACGCTCTGTCAAACCCCGGTCATTTCAAATCCGTTGTAGCCTCTCTTGGCCTCTATTTTCAAACCGGCGCCCGGGGAAGGCCTCATGAGTGGGGACAAAGTAGCCAAGGGAGGCAGGGATGCGTCACCGGTGAAAAGACCTGCATGAGCCTCAAATCCAGGGTTGGGCAACTTTTTCTTGGCGTTGATTAGTAGAGACACAGAGCAAAAAGCAAAGAAAGACAGGGAGTATCGTTAATTGTCTTACTAAATTGACTTGTCTCTCTTCCTTTTTTATTTCTTCTTCTTTTCTTTTGTAAATTGAGCATTAGCGTATCGAATGTGCCAAGCCTGCGTTATCGCCGGAGATGGAAAAGAAGTTCGTTTACTGAAGATTGTGTATACAGTGAGTACAGTACATCACGATAAAGGTCTCGGCTGAAAAGAGGGGCAGAATTAGAATTCCTAAGGCAAGTTACTAGGTAGGTAGCCATGGATAATAGCGAGATCGAAAGCCGAAAAGGCGAGAGGACAATATAATTAAAGTATCCGTATCTTGGCCCAGGCTCGCGACTTCGTCTTTGTTTCTCGGCCTTTGGCGTATTCTCATCTTCTGCATGGGACATCTGCATGTGTTAGATTGTAGTCCAGATGTAACTCATATTCTCATGCTGTGTAACCCCGGGGAGATGGAGGCTGCAGTAACTACCCGCCTCGGTCGACAATAGAAGGGTGTCGAGGTGTCAACAAAGAGGCCCCGACCGGGTACTCGGTGACATGGAGGTGAGGGGTAAAATGCATGAAAAGCAAAGTACCTTCCTTGTTCATTTGTGAAGCAATACTTTAGTGCCTGTAGAATATCTTGGTGTCTTGCTTTGACGCTGTCTATACGCTGCACTGCAGAGACAACTCATGACTTGAAGATAGGCTATCTATCATACTAATGGCTATTCATCCTCATGTTAATGTCTCTCTGAGTGACGCACATGGTAGCGTCGAGGCTTGATCGATCTCTTTCACTGTACTCTCTACCTACATAGTACCCAGTCAATCACACCTCTTGGCCTCTCGTAACCCCAAAGCTTACACCAATGCGAGAAATACATACTTGCAGCCGCGTCTTTCTTTTGTAAGGTAGGGGTTCTCCTTATAAGGTTCACTGAATTGATCGCTTGATATCTCCGGGGCCCTTGTCCACTGCTGTACCCTTACAAGGCCCCCGTCCCGTCCTGTTTGATTTTCTACCAACGAGCCCGAGCCAACAATCTACCAACGCTGGGCCAAAACATCTCTTTCCTCTCTTCAAACCCGAAAAAATAAAGCACAAATTGTCTCATCCGTATATGCAGCATCTAATTCAATTGTTTATCGTAATCTGTAATTAAATCTCCGAGCCGCTTTGGTCTCCACTCTGCGACCCAGGCTTCATGATACTTTGCTTTCCTAGCGTCGATCCACTCCAAAACTCTCTTCAGAGGCGGTACCTACAGTACAAGCAGTGAAAGTAGAGTACTTTTATGTACGTACCTGAAAAAGAGAGATGATCACTTCCGCGTGACAAGCCTCATTCCATCATCTCGCATCTTGTCCCCGCCCTAAAATGACAAGAAGAGAAATAAATAGGTAATCAAGTATGGATCATCTACGTAGGGTACTCCCGCTCTGTGCGTGCTCGGCCTGTCGTGACCCCAAAACTCCATAGCTTCATTTCAACTATTTTTTTTTTATGTCCTCTCAATCCCCGTAGAACTAACTAATTGAAAACCGTCAAGGCGTCTTCCTCTGTGAATTAGCGGTCCGGCCCATTCCCGCCGGTAAAAAAACGTGTTTTGTTTAGCGTGCGGACGGTAACCTTAATCGAACTAACCTTGTTGTAGCCTCAACCACAAACATTAATAGCACGTTTTTGTCCATATACATGCTTGTGCATACTGATGTGATATAGCAAGGATGGCATGTCTTTCCACCTCCAGCTAATAGCCTAGCACCCTTGCATCTAAACCAGTTGAAGAATGCATGCGCCTCTCATCGGAGATACAGCCCTACATCTGCTGCAACCTTGAATCTGGACTCTAGAGCCGTGTCCAAGGACCGACAAAGACTGTGAGTTCTTGGCTTGGCTCCTTTGTTGAGGCTTTGTTTAGTTTCCTCAAAGGGACATTCTTGCGAGTCAATCATCACACACCAGCCTCATTCATCTCATCAATGGAAGTTGTCATTATCAGGCCAGACAGAAATCAAGACAAAGCATCCAACCACATCTAGCTAACCCATCATTCATACCATACCCTACCATGGGGCCCTGCATTCCATCAGATTTCATTATGCACTGCACTCCACCGTGACCGTCGCGGCTGCACCAGAGGGAAACCGGGTTTTCATTGAATATATACCCTGCTAGGACCTAGTCATGCAGGTGGCATGACAGTGTCTCGATCCTATTAGCCTCGTATTCTCGATTCATCCCTCTATCTTCACTGTGCCATTGTGTCTCAACGCCATCCTCCTGCCTGATGCTTCAGCCCCCACCGTCAGTTGCCTTCTCCCGCAAGCTAGACACCACTCATCAACTTCCCAGGTAAATTTTGAAAGCCATTAGCCATATCGTCAAACACGAAGCTAAGTATCCACAGCCAACAAGCTGCTGTATCCTGGGACAAGAATAGGATAGGAAAGAAGTGAAGTGACAAGAATTACATTCAGTTAAAAAGTTCAAAAGTGACGAAACCATGTGCCATATGAAGTGAAAAGAAAATGCACCCTGGGTATCCTCCTTTCTTCCATTCGCCCCCAAAAACAGAAAGAGAGAGAGAGAGAGAAGACAAGACCTGCTGATCTCAAGTTTTCTTGTCTGTCCTGCTGCCTCATTTTGTTGCTGTTGTTGCTATTGCCATTGTTGATGTTCTGCTCCTCGTACAATCTCTCTCGCCATGTTGCTTTTGCTCGCCCCCGAAATGTCAGGTAAAACCTGGCATCTCATTTCCCCAGCTTCTTGTCGTACACGTCGTTATGACTTGCAGCTTTTCTGCCCGTCTTTGCATATTCAAGACCACTCTCTTCGCAGAGCGTCAGCATGCTATCAAACGAAGGAGATTCTAGGGCTCAAACCCTAAACTTATGCAATGCCATGCTCGTATTCTTGCTCCAGACTATGCTGATGTTTGTGTCGAGATTTTGCCTTTATTTTTCTTCCATTTTTTGGACACAGGCTGGACTCCGTAACGCCTTAGTATGGTCCGTGAACGCCGACAACTTCGTGTCTCCTTGGTCATGCGCTCCCTCTTTTCCAATCGCCAACTTCGACACTGCAATGTTGGTAACATCTTGTAGCAGCCGATCATGATGTCATGGTCATGTTGATGCCGGATGATGGGATGGGGTAGTACCCGCTCGAGGTTGACTTGCCCTCGAAGGGTCCTGGCGGACGATCATTAATCTGGGCTGGTGGGTGGAAGATGCTGGGTAGAGCGGCGCCGTCGTAGTCATGCTTGATTTTGCTACTCATGTCCATTCCGGTGGCCATGTGCGGCACAACGTTGTGATCGCGTTCCCCACGGGGATTGAATAGATCGATCCGGTCGCTCTGCGCATCGTACATCGGAGCTGGGTAGTACTGGTACTCTCGGGTCGTGCCGATGGCCTTGGAATCCTCCGGAGGAATCATCGACTCGTGCGGTATATCGTGATGACGGACACCATAGAGACTGCTGCGGGCATCAAAACCACCAGTGGCGTAGCTTGGGCCGCCCATCATGGGGTTGTTGAAGTCGGCCACGCCGCTGACAGTGTAGCCTCCCATGTTGCCCGACGACCCTCCAGGTCCGCTGCTTTGGCTTCCGCGTCTGTCGTTTTGATAGTGCCCTGGCGAGCGGCCTCGGACAATCATCTTGGCCGACTTACGCGTAGCTATTTTGACGTATTGATCGCCACTGCTCTGATTAGCGACCTCGCCCCAGAGCTCGACAACCAGTTGGTAGTATTGCTGAGCAGCTCTGCGCTTCCCATTGTTCTGGGTAGCTTGCTTGAATTGAATGCGTTCAAACGTATGCTCTGTAGGTAACTGTTGGCTGCCAGGCTGATTGCTGAAATTGTCGGGGTATACAGGGCGGTTGGGTACGACCGAGTCTGAGAACATGCCCATATGGAGGTGGTGGCTTGCCTGTGGGGGCTTGTTGCTGAGCCGCACCTTTTCGGGCTTCATTATGGGCCCCTTGTCTCTCTTTGGCGTATGCTGTACCAGCTCGATGTTGTGTTGCTCATTGTCGGAGACAACTGCGGAGATGGACATGGCGAATCCAAAGATCGGAACGGGTTGCGATGAGCCACTAGCAGTGTACTGAATAGTGACGTTGGGAATGTGAGGGCTCAGAGAAAAGGAGCAAACGCAAGAGAAGTAGTTCCTCCGGTAACATGTCCACTCGTTCTCCGATAAAAAGAAACCTTTGTCAATGATACCTGAAATGTCCACCTTGACAGGTGTTCCTGCGCCGTCGTTGTATTGAAGGCTTCCCAGCATGTGAACTGGTTGCAGGGGAGGAATGTTGTTCTGAGAAGGCCTACCGCCGTACCCGCTCGAGCCCATACTTGGAGCTGAGAAGCCCGCGTTGGGGCTTATTGTTGGCGACAGCGGATGTCTTCCTCTTGGCTGTGTAGCAAAGGAGGGCGATCGAACAGAATGCTCGGATGGCCTCCTAAACCCTGGCGTAGCAGGACCGTACTGTTCTCGAGTACTGATCGGGGGACCAGGGTGCGGGAGGCCTGGGGTGCGATGCGAAGGGGGATAGGGATGTGCCATCCCCGTCGTAGATGAGTTGCTGCCGGCAGCAGTCAGTTCCTACTCTGTCTGCAATGCTCGATAGAGCTTCTTTTCGGCGTCTATCATAATCGGTCCAACCAGCTCATGTCTCTGTCTATTCTTGGACACAGGAGACGAGATGGTCAGAGAAGAAGGAGATCCAAAGAAAAAAGGGAAGAGAAGTATGAGATCTAATGGGTATGGTGTGCGGTCGCGACGTGATCCTCAACCTGGGTGGTGAGGAAGAGATGAGTATGAGAGGGCTGAGGGGCTCAAGAATCAAGAAGAAAGCAGAGGACGTACTTGGAACCCAGTCGAGAGCGGACGTCTATACCCGGATAGAGATGATGATGACCAGCCGCTTGAGACTGGAAAAAGGCACTTCCGTCCTGGGGGTACTGCGCGGTAGAGCTGAGGACCGGCGGATGGAATAGGTTTAAGAGCGACGAAGGTTGAGAGGGCTCTATCGTCAAAGAAGTACTGGCCTCCTGTGGGTATCTGGCGCCTCATCAGCAAAACGACCTCGAGCTGACCAGAGAGCAGCAACGGAAGCAGAAGAAATGAGTAGCGATAACGTCAGGTAGATAGGTAGGTTACGGCACGGCAGTGGCAGTTGGCAGTGGCAGCGACAACGGCAAAAGGACGCGGCCACAGAGATGCTGTATTGCCATGTCCTGGAAATACAGTGTTCCCCGTGTCACAGCTTGAGGTGCACGTCAGGTAATACTGTCGGCCGTTGGTGTGCCACAAAGCCCGCCGAGCAGTTTCGAGAGGCTACAAAGATGGCCAATGCAGCAGCTCGCGGCACTGTCACTGGCACTAACAATATACACCGGCACTGACACTGGCGCTGGGCGCTGACACGGGGCAGCGTGCAGTCAATGTGGAATAGGTAGGTAGATGCAGACTGCAGTGTAGGTAAGGTAGGCAGTGGGCGTGCGAAAGGGAAGCAGTAGACAGCAAGTAGCAGTAAGCAGAAACTCGAATAAAGTAGCAATGTAGCCAGTGAATGGGTGGGATAGGGTTGGAAAGATACTAGGACTAGTTTCCGGACAAGGTAGCGAATGCCACACCCCGGGCGTCAATGTCAAAACCAAGAGAGCTATCCATTGCTTTGTGACAAGCCACCGAGAGAGATCCGAATTAACGGGATGCCAGCGAGCGAGTGAGCAAGCAAGTACGGTGAAAGCCTGTGAGACTCACTGGCCAGCTTGGGAATTTTCGACAGGCGAGTAGATGCGCCAGGGGATCGCTCTGCCGGCAACAACAGGGGATATAATATTGAGGAGCCCAGAGAGGGGAGGCTGGGTTGAGGATCTTGTGTAATACTTAAAGAATGGGGAATGGAATGCTTGACAGAAAATGGCTGACAGGGCTGCGCTCGCTGCCAGTTACTCCAGTTGTGATGGAACCCTGCCTGACATCTATCTAGATGGAGAACAGGTAGGTGGATGAGGTCAAGACAAAGCAGCAATTGAATAATTTGGTAACGTGCGAGGGGATTGCGTGAGAGGAACTTCCCCCAGCTGATGGTTTCACAAATCTGGTGGGGGTCCCCTCGAGCATGAGAAAGAGAGAGACAATGGTCATAGTTAGGTTGATGAATGAACTAAGACAGAGCAAAAAGAAAGGAAAGGTGACAGGGGTGGTTCTGTAGCGATAGGCAAGGGGAGTTGAAGATAGTGAGTTGCTAAGTTAAGGGCTATCAGTTCTTTCCAGAGCCTGGCTTAATGCCGCCACCAAGGTTGAGGCCCGCCAGAATAGCAGCTGAAGGAGTGTACAGAAATGGCGACTGATATGCAGGGAAGATAAAAATGATGTTTTTGAAGGAATATTCAATGGTGACTTTTCAGAGAACTGTAACTCGACCTTTGCCGCCAACGACATGGGCATACCTTAGTTTGGTTGGGCTACAGCGTCTTGGGCGATCAATGGCCCCAGCTCCTAGCTCACAACTCGTGAACAAGGCCGAACCACTCACCATTGCGAAAGTCAATGGGGGATTGTCAAGTGCAACATGACTGATTCGACAGAAGCTACACAGAGCAGGTGCATATAAACGTAGGAGAAAAGAAGTCACTACCAAAAGGGGAGGAAGACAGGTCAAAGCAGTCGTGTCGTAACGTAGTCCAGCACCAAAAAAACAATGCACGCAGGAAACAGCAAAGGAAAAATGTGAACAAGACTGACCTCATCTCTCCGGTATGCGTCGCCATATCCATGTAGCCCATGGTGGGCGTCGAAGATTCGTAGTCCTGTTTGAGAGGCTTCATGTTAGCCTTTGGTCCCGTTTGCGACGCCAATCCGTGACCATATCCAGGAGACTCGATGAGACCTGTGGATATCCACGTCTCGACCATATTACAAGTCTGGCAGCGATGCGATGGCGAGTCGCAAACTTATCTGCTCGATCAAGCTGAGTCTCGTGTTAGTCAGTGATAACAGTGATGATCAAATGGAATCTCATAAAATATCTAAGGTCATGCAAGCTTTTTGCTCCCTTTTTCATGTTTATCATAAGCGCTGGCTTGTTATCGTTCATACGCCATACAATCACGTCTGGTGGAACTCGGAAGACCAGACGGTGACCTTTCCATGGACAAGATCTTCGGCTTGCTTGTCTTGGTGCATGAAACACAAACAACGCGGCAAAACATGACAAGCTGGCTCGAATGACACCGTTAACATCTTGCAGTGGACAAACACTCGTTTAAGTTCCTTTATAGCCTGTTTTGACCAAGGCGCTCCTCAAGAGATGCTTGCCTATCACAGGATAGCCAGCAGACATGAACGCCTCGCGGTGTGAGGCGCTTGGAAGATGCTGTGACAACTGACCTGCAGATTTGAGCAGCGTAAAGCTAGGACAGCGGGTGCAGACTTTGTTTCTCATATACTTGAAAAGGGGGGGGATTTAGATACCGAAACGATAAAAGCTCACACATACCATTTGACTTGCCGAGCCACAGACGAAGCACGCGGGTTTTCGCATGTAACCTGCCACCCCAACAGTACTGGCTGGCCGAGCCCTGGAAGGTACAAACGCAGCAGAGACTCTTGGACACACCCGGGCCAGTACTAATTAATCTTACCTTGGGAATTTGAGAACTCATGCGCACTTTCAGGCAGGCAACACAGCCTCTGTCATTCAGTGAATAACACTTGAAGCGGGACAGTCGGACGGATCATGCACTCGACTAAAGTCTTCATAGTTAGCTTGGGTTAAATAGCAACATATATGGCTATCCCTGGCCAATATGAATGGTATAGCCGCATACCTCGAAACAAAGCGAGCCACTTGTCTGCTTTAAGTACAGCTGTTGCTAATCACGAGGGCATCGGCACCCTGCGTTCTTGTTGTTTCTCGAGCCTAATTATGCACTCGTATCAGCTTCAGGTTGCCTTCCAGATCAAAATTGAGGCCGATCAAGTCGTTGGGATGTTAGATGGGGCAATGAATAAGCAAACAGTGCCCTCAGCTCGGGAGACATAGAGGTCAGCTACAAGGACCAGCAGCTTTTGTCAAAGAATGAGCCGTTGTACCCTATTGACTTCCTGGGAAAAAAAAAAAAAAAACGCTCCCCGATATGTGTTGTGTAGGATTGTATACTGATAGGCTCGGAGGCGGTATCCGGCATCATCATGGAACAGTCCAGTCTGGCTCAGAGGCGGGACTTTATTCACAAGCATCAACAAACGAGCCGAGAAGAAGTTAGTTCCGACTTCAAGAGCTGATAGTCGAGCGAGCTTTAGGTAATGGACAACTTGGGGCTCCTCAGTCGAATTTGGAATGAGGATGGTAATGATATCGGGGGTTGATCATGAGCATCGGAGTCGAAAACAATAGTCGTGTCTCACCCTTGCCTTACTCAGTAGACTGAGTAGATAACTGTTGCGTTTTTGTTTTTCTTTCGACAAATAAGTTATTCGATATATGTTGCTCTCTTCGGTCTCGGGTCGGATGTTGGTATCGCTGGACAAATGGTGTCACAAACAATAAGTGCAGTGTTAAGAAGGTGAACTGCCAGAGATAACAGCTGTAGACAAGACACAACCGCACGAGTGCAGGATCTGGCTGTCTATATACCCACGCTTCGATTTCAAGTGATGGTGGCTGACTTTGGATCGTACAGGAATGAACTGAGAACTAAGAATCGAGAGGCTCTAGGGGGTGATTATGAGAACATGTAGCACAGGACTGAGTGAGAAGCAGACAATGAAGGAGCTAGGTCCTAAGAAGGAAGCCTGCCGAAAGTCTCGAAGAAACAACAGCAGACTCGGGGTCACCGGCTGGGGGCAGGGACTTTGAATGGGGGAAGACTTGAGGTTGCGCAGAGCCTGAGACAACGGGAAGGAGACATGCAAGTTATGGGGAGCTCAAAACCCCCAGTACTATTGAAATGATAGACTTCTGAGCATCTCATAGATAGTCAAAATTGTTTCCACAATGCCATGGCGGTGTAATGGATGGCCCAACCGCAAATGACTGGCAGCAGTGGAGAGCCGCGATGTTAATGGAGCCCACGGTAACAATTAGAAGCAGGAAGCCGCGTGTAAGTGCAGGGCTATGCTGCAAATCCTCCACGATTCTCGCCATCTGGACCAAGCAAAGATCTTAAGAGCCCTGCTCAGATTCATTCCTGATTGAGCTCACGGGCCGTAAGACGGCAGCGAATATTGGCCGCCGAGAACAAGATGCATACACCGAGTCTAGCCTCGATCAACAGTGTCCAATTCATTGTATGCTTGTAGTTGGTTCGTCGCTCCTTGAAGGGCGGACGCAGATATCAGCCTCGGGACATAACAAAGCGGCAGCTGTAGTCTTGGGACTTCAAGTAGGGTACGGCCTTGGACGCTGCCCTGAGCCTGAAGACCACTATAATCCAATCCGGACGCCAGTACGAGTGCATAAGTATGCAAGTACCCAGCCGTCAATGCTTCTACGATACGCCACAAACACGACTTTGATTGGGAGAGGTCCTGTTTTGACGAGAAGGACGCTATAGACGGAACACCGCAGAGCAGGCCAGGTTTGTACGGCGGAGGGACAAAAGCCAGCCACTGGGATCGAAGTGCCTGATTCCTGGGCAGACTTGTCTATGATACGAAGTCGAGATGCGTCGAAAACCCCTCACCTAGAAGAGACATGGGGGAAAGCAACGGCGAGAACCGTCTGCTCGATACCAATGCAATTGACGCAATGATCGACAATCAGGTCCATGTCTGTTCGGAAATTTTACACACATCCAAGTGCGGCCAGGGATAAAGGTACAGTCGCCAAGTGATCAAGGCACCAACCAACCATGATTGGCATCCCACCCTCAGCATTCAAGCTTTCGGTTCTTGTCAGCCCCATCCACATACTTTGATGGCCGGGTGGCTTTCAACCCTGACGCCATGACATCTGATGCCTGACATACTTGTCTAGAGTAAGGCGAAGAAGATCGACAGGCCCCTGTCAGATGCCCAGGCTATGTTTCAGGCTTTGAAGGCCCCAGTCGTCCTTACACAACGACACGTGAGGCCGAAGAAAGGTTTCATCTCCACGCACGGCGGATGCGGCAAAACACTTCTGGGTCAGCATGAGACCGAAATCTATGGGGACGACGGCCAACGGCTTACTGGTGGGGGGCTTAATGCTATGACCAGGCCAGGGCAATGCCGAAGGCTCTTGTGGACCAGTTCGAAATCAAAGGCCATCGAATTTACGATCAGAAGTTCCGAAGGGGGCGTTAATGGTTGCGTAGATTGTCGATGGGCCAATAAGACACCTCCGTACCCGAAGTGATGAGGAGGGGGCGACGCAGGTCCATATCATGGTCCAAGGGCTGATTAGCTTGCTCAGAAAAAGACGCGGCAGAGCTCATGGACTCGCAGAATGACAGGCTACAAGCTTTCGTATTCTTCATAAAGCATCATTGTAGCAATCTGATTTCGGTCGGTTCCCGTCTAGCAGGACCTGGTTTGGTTGGCACAAGCTGCTGATGCCGACACCAATAGCGGCATTGTCGCCCTTGATATGCACATGGGACGTCTAAGAGCATACTTGGTGCTTGCAATTTGAGGGACCGATGAAAAGGGTAACATGTCATTGCTTTGTCTTCTAAAGCATGGTTGGTCATGAGAAAGAGACCGGCGGTACGAGTAAACGAAGGCATGGCGAATGAGAATGAGGGTCGAATTTGAGTCGGATCGGGCCGTCCATCGAGAGTATCTTTCAGACCAACGGTTGTGGCCCGCGGTGTAATTGTTGTAGTCAAAGGGGTGGTGAAACTAAAGCCGTTGAAAGAACAGCTACAAGCACCAAGCGCGCGCATTTGCAATAGTTGAGACCAGAAAGTTTGAACCGTTCGGCGCGATTCCAGTTAGATCTCTGTGGAATGTGACATATGACTGTTTCCAGACTCTCAAGTCGATCAAACTTCCTTTTGCTGCCGCAGGATGCTGATTGAGGCTGGAGATGGCACAATCACGCTGCAGCGAGAAAGTGATACACAATCATTAAGCAGGAGTGCGCTGTGAGTGATTCGGCGCGCGGCAACGACATCAGCGGCAGTGATGGCAGTAAATCGACACCATAGGCAAAAAGGCAGGCCAGTGGTGCACCCAAGCTACAGGAGGGTGTTGCACCAACAGACAAGGAAGTTGAGGCTGGAACTGCCAATAACAGCATCGACCTCTACGTAGTGGGCTTGAACAGCAACCACGAAACTCTGCTCATGTGCATCTTTGGATCCAGTGTCAATAATCCCTGAGATTTGGTGGGATGCAGGCTGAAGGCTGGAACAAATCAACAAGGGCTGGCAGGCTTTGTGTGCACCGCATCTGGGCCAGTGCTAATTTGGGTGCAATACCAGCCAGGTTGGACCCAGCCCTCTGGTCAACCCGATGCTAAGGTAGAGTGGTGTTCGTGCGTAGTCCTGATCTTGATCAGAGCTGCAATGATCATGGCGGATGAAACGTTGGCTACCGCTGGGTCAAAGCTCGGATGGCAGATGGTGAAAGGCCGCAGAGGGACCGTAATCTGCGTAAGAGAAATCATCAGAGGTACGTAATGAGCGCGCCATAACTGTCCTGTCTTGGTGGAAGATGCGAGCGTATTGCATGGGGTGGAGGGACTGGACGCTCAAGTCAAGGTTGGCTCTTAGTGGAGGTTGAGGTCTGAGGATGGGGTTGAAAGGCGGCAACAAGCGAAGTTGTCACGCACGGGGCAGTTATCCTTGACCGGTCGAGCCTTCCCCATCTTCCACATGGCTCTTTCCCTGTCTAAGCCAAGAGCTTTGTAATGCTACTGGCTGACACGGCCATACCATGGAAATTGGAAGGCCCGGTGCGATACTAGATGCCCCGCCATTCAGCCCCCCCATTCTATTGCCTTTCGACTGCCGCTTGTCAGAGGCCAACGGTGTGGGCTCCCCGCTTGATCCACTCAAACCATATCTATTGCACCTTCTAATGTAAGTTAACCTTAAGGTACATGTGCCTCAACGTCCCCTGTGAAGATCCTACGTATGCCCTGGACAATCTCGTCCATTGAGTTCTCACGGATCCAATAGGAAACCTTGATTTGACATCTCGATCCCGATTGAATGGTCTGAAAGTCAACACTTACAGCTTATGAAGCACTTGATCACGTAGTGCTTTGTCCTATGCAGACACTCAGCAGAACGGGCTTTATCCTGTTGCCTAAAGCAAATTCTTCGGACGTTCTACTCAAACCCTGATATTAGCGCCAAGGTGAGGCTTTTGTTGGTTCACGACATGCGCCAGTGGAGTCGTTACAAAGGTTCTTTAACCTTTTAACTCTGTTACATCAGGCAGACTAAGAATTACAGTACAGACGGACATTAACATCGCCTGCCTTGTTGGTGATCTCGAAGTGGACAAAGAAATCTGACAGGTAGCATAGGCGCTTCATATGGTAAAGAGGCTTCCATATGACCAGAATATACTTACTTTTCGACATTTTCTGAACAGGCATCTTTCAGAAAAGGGGGCTGACAATCCGTAGTAACACACCAACATCCTCTCGAGAACAAGAACGCACGAGATCGTTTTTGGGTCACACATAACTTAATGGATGCAGAATCAAGACAGAATCTTGGAGGAGAGACAATGAAGATTACTTGACATGAGTTCCCACCTCAAAATCCGCCTTGCAATCAAGTTGTTCTACTCCTAATCGGGATAAGTCTTTTGCATGAAGAACATCTGCATGAAAGGATTCACCCTATTACCCCCTAGTTATTTTGTAGAACCGGCATTGGCTGGGTCAACTTCAGGCAGAGGGAGCTCTCTGAGTTGACTGTATCTTCTTGGTATAGATAAGACGCTGCTGTCTAATGCCAAGAAAGGTAATAACTGGAGATGAATCAAAAAATTCTTGAATGCCTTACTCCAGGATTATCCTTAATCTAAGTGGCGTTAGTATACTTGGGAAGGGGTCTTACCTTCCTACCCCAGATCAGCAGTCCTTCTAGTTCTCTCCAAGTAGCTTGGACATGTTCAGGGATAATATCGCCACCCTCAACTGAGTAGGCGTCCCTTCTTACGACTCTTCCAACACGCCTCATTATCAAATCTCGATACAATAGCCAATATTCATTTTATCATCACTCCTGACATGAGGGAACACCGGAGAATACTTACTGGATTCTTCGGGATTGCATATCCGTCTTCTGCTTCAAATTGGACTGATTAGCCAGATTTGTTCGCTTCCGTTTTCCCAATTGAGCATCTTGTCAAACCCAACGACAAGAGCTAACCTCGAAGTGTATGGAGTTGAAGCAAAAAAGGAGGCCTTGACCAACAAGTGGGCCCTCTGTGGTGTTCCTCCACCGGATGCTGCTCCTGGATCCGCGATGGGATCCTGATACTGAGCCTTCCGCAGTTTGAGCATGAGCCAACAGCCAAGGTCTCTTTGAGAAAGGCTTTCTGTGAGACATGGAAAAGCTTGGTAGTACAAATAAAATTTAATTTGGTAACCAATTAATCATGAACCAGGGGAAATTACAACATTCTGGCAAGGCAAACCGGACCAAAGTCTAGGCCCTCGATAACAGCTCGATGTGTCTTCGCAGTTTGCTTTCAGAATGTTGTGATATAGTAGCCATTACGGGTTGCCTATCAAAGTTGATACCTTTACTGTACCCCGACTTGAAATGATATACCTCCAATCAGCGTGATTCGGCTGTTGCTCACCGGTCATCACTAGCAACGAGCAGCTGCCACTTGGTGAGAATATCAACAAATAATCTTTTCTCCTCTTGAACATGGACACGACGGTGCGGTCTGAAGCATTACCATTGATGACCAAGTTCAGGAGTATATGAACTTTGGTGGCGAAGGTAGTTGTGCAACCCTCCAGCTTTCTGGATGAAACTTGGCACGCAGCTGTCCATAGTTCGCGGCGGCGCCTTGCCGATGAACACCCAGACGATTCAGGAACCGGTGATCCATCACATCCAGGATGGAGATCCTATCGTTAATGGGGGCAACGAAGAACTGCCGGGTTTACCTTACTATCGCTTTCTGAAGCATTGGTCTCTGGGATAAGCAAACATGACCAAGACAACTAGCGGTGACAGATAACTGTTTCTATGATTAAATGACCAACAGAAATTGCAGGATGATGTAGCGGTAGTTCTCATGCTGATGCTCCTACTCTTGAGGCATGCAGGTATCCGAACAGTCTATCTAACATCCCTGCTCCGACCTATACGCACGCATTCAAGACCCTTGACAACTGCTGTATCAGATTCTTTACGAAATAATCTGACTGCCATGCTCATGACTTGCATTAGCTAGAGACCAATAGATGAGGTATTGGATATGCTAATGCAAGATAATAATAGACCCCATTCCAAGGGTGAGTACAGTCCAGATCAGCGATTGGCACATTATAATAGCGTCCGTATCAATCCTAGACCAGCGCAGTCGTGTAAGTTGAGGTGAGTAGTTGAACATCCATATGCACATCATCGCCGGCCAGTGGGGCTTTTCAAGGCAAAAGCCACGACAAGAGAGTGCAGTTATTACACGACATTTCATTGCATATGCATTTGGTCCTGAATGATGCGTGAAAGGGTTGGTTCACTGAGCACAAAGAAGCAAACAAACAGGATTGGAGACTATACGTTATTGTTTGGGCTTGGTGATTCAGGTTTACATGGACTATCGAATCCATTGTCTTATACCGAATGAGTGAAAGCGAAGCATGGAGTGCATGGAGGTATCGTATCTTTGCTTGATAGCAACTCCATTTGGGGGAGTTTGTCAAATGATCAATATTGGCAATCTTGTGATCTATTCATATTTGTCATGATTTTGACACATCTGCCGATATCATCTATCAATAAGGTAGGTACCTAGATAGTAATTTATGTCTTTCTAGGTACTCTTTACTGTAAGCTATTCATGTCCAGCAGTCATCCACTATCAATCAGGGCAGCAGGGGTCCGATGACTTGAGCGCTCCCATCGGCAGTGGCTTGGCGCCTGTGGGGGCACTAAGACCAGCCTGGAACTGCCGTCATGGGCGAAATAAGACGTAATTGTTGGTTACCTGAGGACTCATGAGGGACCCATTCATTGACGATGACTCTTTCGATCCTTCATCATTTCTGGGTCAAATTCGACTCCCACTCTAACCACTCACTCACTCCCTCAATCACTTACTCACTGCCACGCGAGACTCAGAATTAGGCAGACGATGGGCGTCTACGGTACTTGACTCATCGAGACTGATACACCATCCTAGACAAATAGACAAATACCCTCATCGCGACGTCGCACCTCGATTGACTGATTGATTCTCTCTTCTCACTCCTCCAGCTTCAGCTTCACCGCACAGGCAGAAGCAGCAGTAGCAGTAGTAGAGAGAAGTACACTGCTTGTCCCGGGCATGCCGAAGAAAAGGAACAACATCAGGTCCTTCAAGCCAGTCTCAACGGCTTCTCCGACTGCGTCAACATCGACGAATAACTCTGGTGAGTGCTGCAGTGCTTGCTTGCCATTCTGTGCTGTACAATCATGCCTGTGCAGCTGGACTGACACAAGCACACGCCCCTCCCTCTGCTCTCCTCTTAATCGTCCGGCGTCCGGCCACCTCTCGGTTCGCTTCCTTTCAACCCCCCCTCTTTCTCCCCCATATCTTCAAACCGCGTGGTATCCATAGTCTCACAAGTAATACGCAGCAGACAGGCCCTCCCGAAGCGTCAATGAGTTGCTAGCAAACTTGCGTCGTACCTCGATCAGCCCCTCCTCTAGCTCGCAGTCAGCCCTGCCTGCTGCTGCTCCCAGTGTACCCCCGGCCATCAGAGAGATACTCCAGATCCCAGACACACCGGCCCCCGCTCCTCGCCGTCTTGTCCGTCAGAGATTCGATGGCAATGGCAGGAGACTCCCTGCTGGCCCTCCTCCGCCTAGGAGTTGGGTCGCCCGTAATTCATCGGATGCTGCTCATGAGGCCTCCTCCATGAGCCAGTCGCGGCTGAAGGCAAGAGGATTGGAAGATACTTGTTTACCGGGAACTTATCTCCCGGAGCGTGGAAGTCTGATAGACATCGTGCTGCAGAAACTCGCATACGAGTGGGCTTTCCACAGAGTGTACAATCAGTACCATCTGTACTTTGTGCCCAACCATTTGAAGGCAGCTCTAATCCGCTATGTTGGAATCGCCAGTGAGGCTGGGCTGTCGTTGAGTGACTTGAAGGTCATTCTGCTGCCACCACCAGATACTTTTGATGGGGCTGAGTTGGATAGTTTAACAGCTTCGAATCTTCAAGTAAACTACCTCGATCTTTCGGGCTCCGCATGCCGGTCAATTAAACTGAAAGAGATCAGTGACTTGTTATTCCCTGCCAGAGAAGATCAACCCACGACAGAACTACAGGAATCCTGGGACGTTTCCGAGAGCATTCCAAGCCCTCCCCGAACTTTGCTGCCCAACCTCACCCACCTTTCACTCGCCTTGCATCCCGGGCATGCCTCATCCGCATCATGGAAGCAGCTTCTTTCACTGTCTCCCAAGCTTACCGCGGTCACGCATTTGAGTCTGGCGTACTGGCCCGAGCCGTGCTTAACACCGAGATCTCGTCTGGCCACCGTATCGAGTCCGCAAGGCCGTTTTACCTATGGAGGGACAAACCTTTATTCACATTCACTTGATCACGATTGGAGTGAGGCTTTACTCGTATTGCGCATGCTGAGTAAGAACCTATATGCGCTCGAGTTTCTTGACCTTACAGGCTGCTGTCCTTGGTTCCCTGCCCTGATGGCCGAAACTGGGCATGATTTTGTCAACTGGGCCGATCACTGGGGCAAGGTCACTGAGCTTCGGCTCTACACAGGGTGGACTCCTGGTCCTGATGCAATGCCATCTGAGAGATTGCGCTATAGAGAGGGAGTTCAAACGGCCAAGGATGTCGAAAGACACATTAGAACCATGAGAGCAGGCAAGGGAAGGTTTATTGTCGTAGAACGCGACAGTTTAGATGATGTATAGACAGAAAACTCATAAAAGCATATATATTTTCTCCCAGTATTTGTCCATCAGCGAATCATGCTCCAGATCGATGTCCAGTTGCCCAGAGAGCTTTGAACTTGGTATCTGATGCAAGCAGACTCTTTGGTTCACCGAGCTCGACGACGCATCCCTTGTCCATCACAATTACGCGGTCGAAATCAATGATCGTATTCAGACGGTGGGTGATAAACACGACGGTGTGATGTTTGAACTCGTTCTCGATGACGGCCTTGATGGTCTCTTCTGTCTTTTGGTCCACACTATGGCTTTATTAGTTCCTTATCTCGTAATTGTATTGTTCGTTCGACTTGCCTGCTCGTTGCTTCATCGAGAAGAACGATTCTCCCGTCGTTCTTCCTCAGGACTGCCCTTGCCAGGAAGAAGAGCTGCTTCTGCCCGTGGCTCAACGTGTCTTGGTTAAACGAAGCATCCAAGCCCCCATGTTGTTCGATCGCATCATTTAGTTCAACAAGATGAAGTACTTCTTTGATTTCGACGTCGGAGTAGACACCAAGCGGATCAACGTTGTGTCGAACCGTGCCGGGGAGGACGAACTGGTCTTGCGTCAGAGTGATGAGACGACTACGGATTGTCTCTCGAGGAAGAGAAGATAGAGAGATTCCATCGATAATGATATTGCCAGACGAAGGATCTAGCAGTCGAAGAAGAGCGAGAAATAGAGATGATTTTCCACTGTGAACAGAAGATGGTTAATTAGCGACAGAGGCATTAGGGTGAAAATACTGACCTTCCTGTGCGACCGCAAATACCTACCTTCTCCCCTCCCTTGATCTCCAAACTGACTGCATCAAGAGCTTTAATAGCGTCTCCATCGCCATCACCATACGATGCCGTCAAGTTGTTGATCTGTATAGCGCCCTTGTCAGGCCACTGTACTGGTGGCTCGTGTGTCTCTCCTGGTAAGTTCTCCTCGCCAGTCTCTTCGGCGAATTGCTTAATGCGAGCTACAGCACCAATGGACGTCTCAATAGAAGTCCAAAACTGAATAAGAATGTTGACAGTCTCACTCAAAGAAACCAGCTGTACGAGAGATACACCCGTTAAACCTACATCGACCGCCCCACGAAGGCGAACGGCGAGACCAACAAGAAGAAGAGCCAGAGCCGCAGTGGTCAGATCGAGTACGAGGACGAGCCAGCGCTGAACGATCATGAGGATATAAAAAGGCCTCTGTGAGCGATCTACGAGAGTGTAGTTGGCTTCTATAACTGCATCTTTCCATCCGAAGGCTCGTATGGTTGCTAGACCGGACAGTGTTTCGAGGAATTGGGTGTACAGAGGGGCTTTCTCTTCGAGATCGAGAAGACGCAGTTGACGAGAGGTACGGAGATAACCACGCTGAAGGTAGAAATAGACGGCTCCTAGAAGAGGAAAGGTAGCTGCTATGTAGGGATTCGAGGAGGCGAGGAGGCCGGCTTTGGCGATGACACCGAAGAAACCTGTTCTATTAGTAAAGCTTTTAGATGGTGAACTGGGGTTTTGGCTTACTAGCGAGAGTCACAACGAGACCAAGAGGGAGGTGGTTGTCTACCATTCCTATGTCCTGCGAGAATCTTCCTGTGTTAACTTTCGAAACGACTTCTTGCGATACTAGCTTACCGTGTTGTGATGGACCCCAGGTCTGTCGTGGTAAAAAGGGATAAGGGCGCCCTAGAAGGGTCAGTTGGCAATCCATACCCGGGTCAATTCATAGACCTACTTGATTACAGTAGACAATAGTCTCTTGTGCAAAGCTCTTCCGGATTTTGCTGCTACCAAGACAATAACAAACCTACAACAGTCAGTATCCATTAAGTCCAAGGAGAATGTCTATAGAATACCATATAAGAACTGCGAACCAGACGACTGCGGTGACCTGAAGAGCAGCATAGATACCAAGGTAGTAACCCGCTCGGTCGTTTCCATTTGCATTATCATCAGACCAAAATTTCAGCCAAATTGCTAGTCTTGTCAGTATCTCGGACAATAACTAAATAGTAGGTGGCCAACTTGGGAAGCTTTCTAGAAAAGCCCAGATTATCTCCAGTACGAGAAGAACTACCATGAAAAGACCGCCAGTGCTGCTGAAGTAATATCGATATACAGTTGAGTCTCCGCGTTGTCTACGTGAATCACCTTCATTAGCTTGTTGTTTTGAAGCCGTTTGCGCTGGCTTGGTGGTATGTTCTTTGATATCGTCAGTTGCAAACTCTGAGGCTTCCACCCCATGGACTCTGTCTCTCAGTAAGGACTGCACGTATCCACCAGTGTCTTTGAGATCGGAGAATATGCCTTGCTCGGAGATTTCTCCGTCATTGTTAAGACAAATGGTGTGGTCAGCAGACCATAGAAAGTCAACTATTACCCGGTTAGCAAATATTTTTTAATAATTCGTGGACCATTTTACCTGATTGAGTCGCAAGCAAAGTTGTCGTATTCCACTGCCTCAGCAAACTTCGTTCGCTAAAGAGGTTCTCGAACACAGTACGGGCAGTTTGGCTATCCAGCCCACTAAAGACATCGTCGAAGAGAGCAACCTGAGGTTTTGAGTAGACAGCTCTGGCCAAAGCCTATTAGGTTAGTATATAGCTGATTACTCCTTTGGTCTTGACTTACAACTCGTTGCTTCTGACCTCCGCTGAGAGCCAGCCCCTTGCTGCCAATGACGGTATCGTCACCCTGAGCAAGTTGACTGAAGTCCTTCTCTAGATCACAAGCTTTGACAACAGCTTGGTATAGGCCAGGATCAAAGTGAGAGTAACCGATGATGTTTTTACGAATTGTTTGGTTCTGGCGCGTTAGCTTGGAAACAAGAAAAAATATCGGGTAGTAGTCATACCAGAAGCCAAGGGCTCTGCTCGCACCAGGCAATCCCCTTACTATGAATATTGATTGATCCAGTTGTGCAGGGAACTTCCCCAAGCAGCGCTTTCAGTAGAGTGGTTTTGCCACTCGCAACTGGGCCAAGCAGTAGGACGAACTGATTGCGGCCCACGGTAAATGACAAGTCTCGAAGAATGACACGATCCTCTGACCATGAGATATTGGCGTTGGAAAGTTGAATAACAACATCGCTCATACTGGAGTTTGCTGTGGATTGCAATGAGGGCTCTCTCAGTATTTGTAGCTCAACAGACTCTCTATCTCCTTGATCAGGTGTGTTCGACTCTACAACTGATTGTTGTTGGCGAGGATCTCTTCGTGACTCTTGAGTCAAGAAAGTTTGTATTCTTTCAAAGGAGCCCAAAGCAGCACTCATGTCAAGAATCACCTCAAACATGAAGAATAGTGGCTGTGCCAGGAGAATGATCAGGGACAATGCGGAGAAAAGTCTAGTAGCATGAAGAGTCTCGCCGGAAGCCGAGGCAACCCCTTGGAAGAGAGCAAATGCCGCGACGGGAGACACGAGCAAGGGAACTTGAGCAATTGCGGATGTGACGCTGCTAACAATTCTGAATGGTCGTGAAGCTTTGATCTCGTCTGCTCGGAGGTTGAGGATGGTGTCTGATAGGTTCTGAGCTAGACCAGAACATCTGATGCTCTTGATATGTCCAACCATGGCAGAAGTAATACCTAACCAATATTAGTGAGTTTATGACAGATCAAAGGATACTACAACTGACCAACTCGTTTCTGCGTCTTGTCTAGCCATGATATCTGGTACTTGCGTGCCAGAGCCGAAACGAGAACAGTGGCAACCAAGGCAAGGAGTGAGACTATGATGGGACCTGAAGCAGCATAGCCTATGTGAGTGCTTAGCAACCAAGTAGCTATGGCAAGCTGTATGATATTTGCCCAGAACTCGTGGATCTCTCTGACAGCCCTTAAAATAACATCGACCTATCGAATAGTTAGTCCAATACAGAATTTTTTAAAAGTGGCCTTACATCAGAGGACATAAGCGTCACGGCCGCCGAGTCGTCTGTCGTCGTGATGCTCAGATCGGCTGCCTTGGAAAAAACGGCAGACACCAAAACTCCACGCAATAACGTGACAGATCGAGCGTTGCGATGCCAATAAAGTGCTTGTGAAAAAGCAATGCCTGAGTAAACGAGGCCGTAGGCTGCGATGAGACCGTAACCAATGTTGATAGACTGAGAAGTATCGTCGAGAAATACGAGTAGTCGATTGAGAATGAGTGGTTGGCATATAGTGAATGCCAGAAGCGCCAGGCGAGGAAGAACAACGGCAATGATAGACCGTCGCAGTGTCGTGACGCAACATGAGATCAGTCGGTGTTTGCGAGCCGGAGCTAAGCCAGCATTTAGTACATGGACATCACAGAAGAGTTTAAAGTGTAATACTATATAGCTATCTAAGGGGGGGAAGGGAATAGACAAACCTTTCTGATTATGCCAATGCCTCCAAAACCCGTCAATCAGTCCCGCCGAGCCCATGTCCTCATCCAGCTCAAACAGATCCATTGGCTGTAGAAGCTTGCTAAATCCCGTCAACAGCAACGGAGCCACCCACGCAAAAACGGCTTGGGCGTATAGTCCGGCCGTGACTTCGGGAGAGTGGACCCCGGAGCCGGCGACAAGATATGGAGCTTTGCTCCACCCTTCAAGAACGACAAGAATCGCCTTCAGGGCAAAGGCCGCTGTGAAAACAGCTGGAATGGCCGCACTCATAGGGACAAGCCAGAGGGTGCGAAGGAGCGCAACATCAAGGAGCAAAGACACGGTGAGAAACAGACTCAGGAGAGACGATGGACGAGGAGATTTGGCATGTTCGGCACGAGAGAGGACACAGGACATCAAGCTTGAGGCAAATGATACACATGCAGCAGCGACAGAAACGCGACCTAGACGCGAATTTGACGGGAGGGTAGCCCAAAGCACGACAAGCACGAGATGAAGCACGGCCAAAAGAGCGATCAACGCCAATTTGACAGTGCGAAGACGATGGCCAGTTGTTTTGACGGGGACATTCCTCAGACGAAAAAGACGAATGGGAGCGAGGATGAGAAGAAGAGCGGCTGGAGACAGCACGAGAATGGATTGTTCAAAGACGAGAGTGAAGTCGAAGCCATCGCGACATTCAGGGCTAACAAAAGGGCCGAAAGAAGCGTCGATAGATGAAGTGCACAGATTCTCAGAAGAATTCATTTGAGATAGTGAGTGAAGTTGTAAGAAGAGGAATTTGAAGGAGTTGAGGGGAAATGATTGTTTGTTGTTTATTTGGGGGATACCCTGGCGTAGGTGATAAGACAGGAGAGGCAGAATTAGGAAGGTGGTAATCACTGTAGTAAATCGAGGATGATAGGGTAAATGGTTGTGGTATACAACAACGACAAGTCTTCTCATATAAGATACACGCAATAGCTCAAACTACATAAGGAAGGACAAGGGAGTATGACTCAATCATGCACCACAATTGTATATATAGTCAGTCAGAGCGCCTTTTCTCTTTTAAAAATGGTATTCTTTAATTATTGCGTGGAGAAGGTGCATGTAATTGCCAGTCAAGCCAAGTCATTCGGCGTGAGTCACTCATTTGTAACACCATGGTGGCACTTCAACCGCACTAGAGGCGACAATTCAAGCAAACAGTCGCATACGAATAGGGAATGCGAATAGCGCAACTACGAAGTTTTCAGCCAAGAAAAACGTATCAAAATTATACACTGTGCATGTAGATCTCTATCGTTGGAGAATTAATAAATAAGACCAATTCATCAATATCATCAAGCCTTATTTCCAGGGCAGCTTCGACTTACAGCGATTACATCTTTAAACTCGTTCAACTTTGGTCATTTATATCGTGTATACTATTCCTGTCACTTTGTTCAATTCCTCAACCTCCATTATGACGTCGGCAGCCTCTGAATCTGTAGCGACGATTCTCTGCAGCTCCAAACAGACGCGCTTTCAAATCACCAATCGTCGCGAGGTTTGTCACCAATCCATCCCTCATTCTCTACTAACTACAGTAGCTTGATATTGATGGAGTCAACATCACCGTGACTTCAGGCGACAAACCTTCTGGCAAGGGAAAAGCAAAGCCAAAAGGCGAGGGTATTGAGATTCTCGCTGGTGCCAAGCTTCGACTTAAGGAAGGTCAAAGATATGCTCTTGTTGGGCGTAATGGAACTGGAAAGTCTAGTAAGAAAGTTTGTATGATATCGTTGTTGAGGTGCTAACAGTGATAACCTAGCACTGCTCAAAGCCATCGCCGAGAAACTCATCCCAGGCATTCCAGAAGAGACTAGGATTGCTATTTTACAGCAAACTAGACTGACTGATGTAAAGTCTAAGGAGAATGCCGATACCAATAATGGCGACAAAGCTTCTGTGCTGGAACAGGTCATCGAAAAAGCTACAGCTAAACATGCCATCGAACAGGATATCAAAGGTACTCCATCTACCATTCTAACTCTGAACTTGTCTAACTCTTTCTTTAGACTTGACAGAAGGAATAAACGCCTCCGACCCCTTTACTCCAGTCAAAGCATTAAGGCATCTGAAGCACAGAAAGCACCAAGAGCGTCTCTTTCGTCTCGATAAAGATGCTCGGCTTCGTAGTGGTGCTCGCGGTATGCAAGCTCGCAAAGCACTCACTGCCTTCGAAAAAGTCGTAGCTGAGTCGAATGAACTGTAAAACATGCCTCCTAATTTTCATTACTATGTCTAATTCTTCACAGACTGGGACAATCCAATGAAGAAATTTCACCCGAAACACTTCAAGCTGAGACTCAAGAGGCTGTTGATATGCTTGCTGATCTTCAACTTCAAGTCGACCCAACTCACGTATCAGAGATTGAGTCCAAAGCTAAAAAGATCCTGACTGGCCTGGGCTTTTCTGAAACCCTTATCCAGAAACCCATTTCGAGTTTGTCTGGTGGTTGGCACATGCGTGCTTCTCTCGCCACGGCTTTGGTTCAAGAAACTGACATTCTTATCCTTGATGAGCCTACCAACTTTCTCGACCTCCTAGGAATCATCTGGCTCCAACGCTATCTTCAGAACCTAGAAGAAACGGAGAATCCACCAACCCTCATCCTCGTTTCGCACGATCGCGACTTCATCTCTCTTTGCACAGATCTGCTCATCCTCAAGGACAAGCAGCTTACTTACTTCCATGGCGATTTTCCCACTTACGAAGCATCGCAAAGTGAGCGCAAACAATGGCTCACCACCATGAAAGAAGCTCAGGATAAGCAAAAAGCGCATATTGAGAAGTCCATCGCTGCCAATATGAAAGCTGGAAAGGCCAATGACGATACCAACAAACTTCGTCAGGCTAAATCTCGCCAGAAGAAGCTTGATAACCGCTGGGGGTTGCAGGTCAGCGCCAGGGGCGGTCGTTTCAAGCTCAATCGAGATCTTGTTGGCTTTCACTTGACAGCGCGTGAGGATATTGACATTCCACCGGAAGACCGCCCCGTCGTGGTGAACCTTCCTGAGCCACCTGACCTGCGCTTCCCTGGCGCTCTGATTTCTCTTGAGAAGGTTGCGTTCCGGTATTCAGCCAAGACACCTCTGATTGTCCAGGATATCACTCTTTCTGTTGGCACGGGAGACCGTATTGGTATTCTTGGCCTCAATGGAGCAGGCAAGTCGACGCTCATCAAACTCCTTGTTGGGGAGACTCGACCTACATCTGGAACTCTAAATATGCATCCCCGGTTGAAGCTGGCATACTACTCTCAACACGCCGTTGAGGCACTGCAGTCTCTCGGTCGTGAAGAACCGACCCTCACAGCTCTGACTCTTCTCACTCGTGAAGTCAAAGGCGAACTCACAGAAGGAGATCTCCGCGGTCTCTTAGGCCAACTTGGTCTTCCAGGTCGAATTGCCTCTGACGTACCCCTGTGTAAACTCTCGGGTGGACAAGTGGTGCGGTGTGAGCTTGCTCGTCTCTTATGGCGACGACCTCATTGTCTTGTTCTTGATGAAGTCACAACTCATCTTGATTATGAGACCGTTACAGCGCTGAGGGAAGCATTGAGGGATTGGGAGGGTGCTGTGATTTTAGTGAGTCACGATCGATGGTTTATGCGAGGCGTGATTGAGGGTGCGGTGGATGAGGATGAGGAAACAGACGAAGATGATGATGAGGAAGTTGTGCGAAGAAGGATTGTTTACAGGTTGAAGGGTGGTAAGATGGATACGTTGGAGAATGGTGTGGATGAGTTTGAACGGCTTATGGAGAAGAGGGTCAAGAAGTTGCTTCAAGACTAAAGAATATTCATTGAGGGATTTGGAGAGCATTCCTCATGCTATAGTGTAGGTTCAGGCCTTTTCACGGCTCTCTAAAACAACAGGGCTTGCCAGAATCTTGAAGAGACTATGATCAAGCATCTTGATACTCATACTTCCACCTTCAGGTATCTCAACGATAGTCCCGTCGATGCACACCTTCCGCCACCTCTCATCTTTCTCCAGAACCGAAATTTTGACTTCGTCAACTTCATCGTAACCAACTTTTTCTCCATCGGGCCACTGCATACCAACATGACTACCCTCATCATACGCCTTCATCATGACACTCATCGTCCGCTCGCCACCAATAGGTCCGAAATGTACAAGTCTAAGCTGTGACTGCAAAGGTTTAGTGGCTGGGGAAATGGCGAACTTTCGCTCCATATTCGACACCAGAGCTGTGAGCACATAGGCATGCGATTCACGAGGAATGTCCTCAAAGGTAGTGGAGCATCGACGTCGAATAGATACTTTTGCAGCGTACGGATGAGATTCTTTGAGGAGCCCTTCAGCGACCATATGAAACCGCTTATCGCCGTGGACACGATATTCCGGTGTGTCACTCTCGTGAACAAGGCTTGCGTGAAAGCCATAGCTAGCTACAATAGCTCCCTGAAGATGCGTGATGGAAGTCTCCTGCTTCTGAAGCTGATTTGGGTCGGGGGTTGAAGGTTGCTCCTTGGATTTGTCCGTGAACTTGACGATATGCGATCCAGATGAAAATGATGCTCGAAACACTGGAAGATCGGCGCCGACGCCGAGAAACAATGTTCGTAGTCCAAGCACTAGTGGACTTGGGCCAGGTTCGGAGTAGAGTGGCTTATGGGTCGAATGGAAAAGGGCGTTTCCTGTGCCCAGAGGCAGAAGCGCGATTGTAGGTGGATTCTCCGGTACCTCGTTCCCACCAGAGCCGTTGAGTAAATCAACGACACCACCATCTCCACTCAAAAGCACGACGGTCCTCACTTTTGAACGCTCATTTGAATTCCACAGCTGCTTTGCATAATCCCGGATGGTCTCTGAGCTTCCTGTATGAATGAGACCATATGACGACTCGCCAGATGTATCGCCTGCGATATACGTCCAAAGCGGATGGAACACGTCTTCCCAGACTTTCGATGCTAGTCCTATACCCGATTTTATTGAGACGATAATATCCACCTGGTTTGTGACACCATGCTCGTTGCTAGAGCTGCGCTTAAGATGAGTGGGTAATCCAGCCACTGTAAGACTTCGAAGGTCAGATGGTATTTCCTTTGTCTTCAGTATCGAGAGTTGAAAGGGCATTTCCTTCTTCTCCGGGTCCTCCTTGAGGATAAAGAGTAGATATTGCGAGGAGCCTGATTGAGAGTTGGTTACTTCATGAACCAAGACAAGCTCATGGCGTGAAGCACTCTCGGATGTCTCGGTGTGAGTCCAAGTCAGATTCTCTTCAGTGACAGAAACATTTTCGACGATTGTCACTTCGGTTAAGTGAGTCTTTTCCAAGGCAGTAGACATTGCGGCAAATGATCAAGTTCAAGGATAAAGGAAGAGAGAGAATAGAAGAATATGTGGTATCTTTATTGTAATCAGGCGCTATTGGCCAATCATGAATACGTGTAACAGAACACGCAGGTGCAAACAGAATGCGGCCAGAACTAGACAGGCAGGAATCGAAGTCGCCAGGATCAAGTGTGAAGCTGAGCGATATGTGTAATTGTGTTCAGAGACGAGTTTGAGAATGATGAAGAAATCAAGTTCAAAAACCCTCAGTGAAACTCATCTCGGCCTTTGTGGGGCTGTGTTGCTGACGAAAAGTTGATAGGCACGCCAGCATCGCGCAATCATTTCAGAATCCCACAGAATCGCCTTCTTTAACCGGTAAGACGAAGTAAATGGTCAAAAGTTGTGCTTTTTCTTTAGTCCAATTGTACATTATCATCGACGACTCGCTTTAGCCAAAGGTCCCCAGTTTTCTCGAGGGTTCATCTGGTATCGCACCAACTTCTGCTCTCCTCGTCGTCGTGCAAGACGTGCTAGGTTCTCATCAAAGACGAGTGTCTTGCGCAATTCCATCTCACTAGGGATGGGCTTGTCATCGCCATTTGGCGCATTTGCTGAGCTAGCATCAGCTGCCTCAGAGGCTGAATGTTCCACGCCCTCCATCGCAGAGTCATCTTTAGCTGTCTCTTCTGTAGCCTTAAGCTTCTCTTGTCCAATGATTCCAGCATCAGTCAGAATCTTCCATGCGGCGCTGTTTTTCTTGATGCTCGATTCTTTGATTGGGGACTTCTGGCGAATCCATTCCGTTATTATCCACCAAATTGTAGACCAAGGTGCGTCAGTCTTGATACTTCCTGGTCGGCAGTGGCTTCGAGCAGTGCGGTAGCCAAGATGAATCAAGGCGCCTCGAATCATGTCCTCACTCGGAGTCACACAGCTCACCACATTGGCCAAACGACTTGGAATTATGAAGAAAGGGTAGTGGTCAACGGTCGCAAGCTGAGCATCCTTGGGGTCAACAGGCTCCTTGACCTCAGGCCCAGGCAGATACTCTTCGAGAGCTGTTCGCAGCATGCCTTCAAGTCTAGGCATCGTGCCATAGATGGAGGGGTCAGCCTTGGGGATTTGTGCCAGAAGTCTTTCGATAAACTCTTGGGAATGAATGTGGCCACCATACATAGGGCCATTAATGTGCATCTTCATTCCACAATGTTCGCAGTGTCGATCGGCTGATGGTCCCTGGGCCATAGTGTGCTTGTAAAAGGCGCCATTGCCCTTCTTGTTCGGCGCGGGCTTGCTTCTCAACATAGGCTGCGTTTCCCAAGCACCACAACCTGAGTCGCAGCTGTAGACCAGCATAGTCTTGGAAGCGAGAAACTTGACTGACTGGGGGGATTTGGTCACCTTGATAAAGAATTTGGTGTAAAAGTCGATCGAGAGCGAGAGAAGAGGGTCAATGGCCAATCCGTATCTGGCAGCTGAGGTAGCAACAGCGTTCAGAACAAGTCGAAGACCAGCTTCGTGGGAATGCATTCCCTTAATTGGAATTCCTCCGTAAAGCGCAAATGTCTTCTCGCAATAGCTGTGACCTGCCCACACCGCACTATCTGTACAGGTGATACATAGGAGGCCACCGTCGTCTCTGATAGATTGCACGGCAGCGTCGAAGAAAGGTGCAGCTGTACCATAAGGATCCAGGTCGATAACATCGAACTTGTTGGTCTTGCCTGGGCTTCCACTCTTGTCTCTGTTAGACAAGTCATCTGCGATGCCTCGATACATGAGCGCAAGCGCATCACCCTGGGTGACGGTGATTTTGTCCTCAAGTCCATTATGCTTAGCGTTCATCCTGATAGACTCGGCAGCAGTGTCGGACAAATCGTTGGCCTTGACAGATGTCACAAAAGGCAATTCGTGGGCATATCGAAGTGCTCGCAGCCCAGACGCCGATAGCGCATCCAGGATACGGAATGAGGGCTTTATTTCTTTCTTGGGTTGTTGTGCTTCGGCATCGTTGGGCTTAGCAGCTTCTTCAGTCGCTTGCGGTTTATCCTGTGGTGGGGGGTTCACGGCCTCGGTAGGCTTCTGGTCGTCATCGCCTCGCTTGCGCTTCTTGCCCTGCTTGTTTATCCTTGACTCGTACTGTTCCTTTCTCTTCTCCAGAGACATCTCGCCATAGGTCTTGATCGCCAGAACAGATAGATCACGGTTGTATTGCTGGATAGGATTGTAGAAGACCTGCTGAACTTCCCCACGATCCTCACCAATCTTAGCACCTTGAGGCACCAAGATAGTTGCTTTTCCCTCTGTGACCGTCCTGAACTCCTTCCCCTCGATGGCCACAGTATCCACGTTGACCTTTTCCTCCGCCATTTTTGCTGTGGTCGAAAATTGGAGATGCGCAATCGTTTTGTCACAGAGAGCTCGGTAGTTGCGATTTGTGCTAAGGATCTGAGTTTTCGAAAAGCGATTCGTAAGATCCAAAATCGATCCGGCGCCCAAGTTCGACCTTGATCTCCAGAAGATGCGAAGCATATAAGAATGTTGCTTGGGAAGAATTTGCATGGCTGGAAAGCTTGTGATTAACTGAAGCTAAATTTTATGAAATTCTGCCGCCCGCAATGGTCCACGAACGTATGTGGCAGGCGGTGAGAGAAACCAGCTTAACATCTACTGCCTTCATGCACTTCTGGAAACTCGACAATTGCGTTTCTAAATAGGTAGTAAAGGATTTTAAAGAGGATCGTTCCTAAAGCTTAATTTAATGATTCCTAAGTTAGCGGGCTTCAATGAAATTTACACAAACCATGTGTTAAAAGCATGGCATAACCTCATTGCCGGCCAAAGCTTGATAAAACACATTTTTGGATGTATTGTGCTAAGTAAAAGCTGTCGAGGTCTAACCTTAAAGCGACGGAGTGAGATTCATGATCACTGTATTCATCACCGGGGGTTGAGGCAACAGATGTTAACTCGGTGTCATTGGACATCTATTCAATACCATTGATCAATTGTAGTTCACTCTACAAGACTATAGATATGGTGGGATGATACAAACCTGTATGGTTCAACTAGGGATGAAGTACAGGTGCCACAAAACGGAGCACCTCTTTTATACTCCATGATCTTGGTGGCTTCTACCAATTTATGTTCTCCGAATGGCTTCAGGGTAAGCGACCTACCTATTTTTGGCAATTATCGATCTTGGAGAAGGATCAACAGGGAAGGCTGTTCCAGACTCGATTGTCTCCAACTCTCCACGGATCCATAGTGAGTGGAGACAAACCATTATTGCTCGCATCAGACCAGACCAAACAGTTCGTCGTAAACAATCAGATCATCACTTAATTCTCTCAATCTGACTGCATGACTCGGCACTTGGCCTTAGATCAAGCGGTCAACTTGTCAGTCAATTATAGAAACCAATCGAAGACATCTTTAGACTGTCAATGTTCATCGACTATCAGAAAAACTCTGCTTTGAGCCTCTGCTGATCAAGGCGCAACAGCTCCGAGCTCTGCCCTAGAGGAAGCGAACTCCAAGGATCCCCCCGCCCTGTATGTTGAGATGACGGGGGCGCTAAGACCCATGGAGATGAAAAATTTGGGGGATGGGGGAAAATTGGATTGCATTTCAATGACGTAGTAATAGCGTAGAACCAAGTTTGCATGTGAATTTGACTCAATTGTAAGCACTCGAGTTACTCCCCAAAAACCCGCTGTAAAATGCTCTTATTTTGCTGATAAAGTCTTCAGAATTCAGTATATACAGAGCCCACCATCAATTTAAAGACCGCCAATCAATTTCCTCATAAAGAACAAGAGCCGCACACGGAAGCTCCCCCTCACCCTCCCTCTTCAAGCCTTGCGAAGCTTCCCCTGGAAGCGCCATGATGAATTGACTCGGAGACGTACAAAACTAGGCCAACTCCGTACAAGGCACGGCTTGCACTCGTATCTTATTGTATCAATGTCGAGAATCTCTTGAAGCTAAGCCAGAAACATCATGGCCCGGTACCTTGTTTGCTTCAGCTTCAACGCGACTAACAAAAGCCAATTGCTCCTCCATTGGCCATGAGTGATTTGTTGTTGGCTGACATTTGCTACCCCTCCACGCATGATATAGAGCTGCTGCATTCTCTTGAAGCTACTGGGAACAATATCTTGGAATTAACAACCCGGCACTCCCGGACAACCAACCTGGTTCCCCGTCTTGACCGCTAAAGATAACATCCAAGGTTTGGTTGTACAAAGCTGATATGACTGTATCCAACGGATTCGACCAGAAGCTATGGGATGTGATAGAGTAGGATTCCGACCTATAGTACTTTCATTGTGCCGTAGCTCAATTTGAGTATGTATGTACTAAATAAGGCACTTGTTGAGCTGTCCAAATTAGGTTACATGAAAATGACTTGATCGAGGAGCTATTTGCTTTTTTTCTTCTTCTCTTCTCTTCTTTCTTCTTTTTGGCGTAGACGAAGTATTTCTTCTTTGTTCCTGCTCTCTTGTCTCTTCCTCTTATTCATGCCCTTCACCTCGTCAACCTCAGGCTCCACTCTAACTTCTTTCCAAAAACATCTTCCAATCTTGGTTTCTACCTTAATTATTCCTAGACACCCTTTTCTCTCCTTTTCAATCCCTTTAGGTCTATGTCGTAGGCTGATTTAGGCCTATCCCCCTCTTCCTCCTACCATCAACTTATCTTTGGGAAATCATCCCTCCTGTCGCTCGCTCAGGTCGTCGATCCCGCTCGATATCCCAGATCCAAGATCCCTGAACCGAATCGACGAGCCCACTAAAACGACCCAAGCAGCGTCTTCGGTGCTCACTAACCACCGCGCACCCCACTAAGTTAACTTGCCTACTGCGGACGCGAACCGTTAGCTATCGATCATAGCTCCACTGCGACAGGCACGTTGCGTAGTGCAGCAGCGCTTCCTTGGTTACCAGTTTCAGTGTCTGACCGAGCTGTGCTTTTGTCGTTTCGCGGGGCACGAAGCGCCCGCTCTTCTCTTCTCTCATCATGAGTCCACCGCACACCATGACATCCAACGAGGTTTATTTGCTGCCGCTCAACGATGATGGCTCACCTCAGGTGCAAGGTGAGTACATATATCTCGCGCCCAGGTCTCACGAGCCTGTAACGGTTCGTTTTGCCATTGAGGGCACCTCGTCCATCTGCCGTCATGGCAGCCTTTGGGTCAACATCCCTGCCCAAGGTGATGAGTTTCGCCGCGATCATTTTCGCGAGTTCAAGTAAGCTTTGGCTCTCACTTTGATCCAATTGATCACTTTTGAAGTAGTTTGAAGTGTTTCAACACTGCAACAAGCAGACGCAAATCGGGGTAACTAACAGTCGCTTTACAGACTTACACCCGATTTCAATCGAACTCTCGAAATCTCTATTCCCATTTACCAACCTGGTGCCTATGCCTTCTACACTACCTACGCTGAGCTGCCCGACCTCAAGAAGGAGCTAGAAAATAGCTCTGAACAGAAGGAGAACCTTAAGAAGACTCCCCTGTACTATATCGATGTTGCGCCTAGACTCAAACTTGACGGCCGGCCATTGCCTTTGCCTGCCTTGTCAATCTTCTCTGTCATTAGCAAGTTCATGGGTAAATACCCCAATGACTGGGAGCGACACCTTCACGGTATTAGCGACCGCGGCTACAACATGATCCATTTTACTCCTCTTCAGGTGCGCGGAGTGTCCAACTCCCCATACAGTTTGTATGACCAGCTCGGCTGGGACCCTGCTTGTTTCCCAGCAGGAGAGGAGGATGTGCAGAAAATGGTGGACAGTCTAGAGCGTAACCATTCTTTGCTGAGTTTGACTGACATTGTGCTAAACCACACCGCAAACAACACAAAATGGCTTGAGGAGCACCCCGAAGCTGGCTATAATTTGATCACAGCACCGTGGCTCGAGTCCGCTTATCAACTTGACACAAGTCTCTTGGAGTTGAGCGACAACCTAGCAAAGTTGGGACTACCCACCGTAGTCAAGTCCACCGATGATTTGCTACTCATCATGAATGCGATCAAGACCGAAGTCCTCGCCAAAATCAGGCTCTGGGAATACTATGCGGTTGATGTCGATCGAGATGCCGACGAGGCAGTCAAAGCTTTCTCTCAAGGAAAGAAATACACCTCTGAGGACGCTTCAGATTTCGAGAAGAAGCTGGAGAGCGCCAAATCTGCATCGATCAAGGACCAAGTCGAGTTCTTCAGGGAGTTCGGTTTAGCAGGCACCGACCAAATGGGTGAGCGCTATCGAAGGCATGTCAAGCCTGACGTAGCTGCTAGCTTTTTGGCCTCGTCTGTGGGTTCTTCCGATGAGAAAGCAGCCAGGGCCAAGATTGTCGAGATCCTGGAGATTCTCAACGTGGATTACTACAAAGAGTATGACGCTGAAGTGGATGACATTCTTCAGCAAATTTTCAACAGGATTAAGTATGTCCGACTTGATGACCACGGTCCCAAGCTTGGTGAGATCAACAAGGAGAACCCCCTAATTGAGCCTTACTTCACTCGACTCCCCAAAAATGAGACAACATCCAAGCTCAAGCCCGAAGAGATGGCCTTGGTCAACAATGGATGGGTTTGGGGTGGTAATGCTCTGGTCGACAACGCTGGCCCTGAATCCAGAGTGTACCTTCGCCGAGAGGTAATTGTCTGGGGCGACTGTGTCAAGTTACGATACGGCTCAGGCCCCGAAGACAACCCTTGGTTGTGGGAGCATATGACTAAGTATGCTCGTACACTGGCCAAATACTTTGCCGGTCTCCGTATTGATAACTGTCACTCAACTCCCATTCATGTGGCTGAGCACATTCTTGACGAGGCTCGCCGGGTGCGACCTGACTTGTATGTGGTAGCCGAATTGTTTACAGGCTCTGAAGAGATGGACTACGTTTTTGTGAAACGTCTTGGTCTCAGCTCCCTTATTCGCGAAGCCATGCAGGCATGGAGCACAGGTGAGCTTAGCCGACTGGTCCACAGACACGGCGGCCGACCTATTGGAAGCTTTGAGGTCGATGAAGTTTCCAAGTCGGATGTCCGCACCCCATCGAATAGTCCGACCAGACTCAAGAACGGCGAGACGAATGGACATATGTCACATTCAAGAGAGATTATTCGCACGATCAAGCCGAGCCCAGTGCATGCTCTATTCATGGACTGCACTCATGACAACGAGACACCAGCACAGAAGCGTGATGCCCGTGATACTCTGCCCAATGCTGCCCTTGTCTGCATGTGCTCCAGTGCTACTGGAAGTGTTATGGGATACGATGAAATCTACCCGAAGCTTGTCGACCTCGTCAACGAGACCCGACTCTACACATCTGCCTCGTCTGGAACGAAACCTATTAAGATTGGAGGCGGTGAGGAGGGAATTGGCGGCGTCAAGAAGCTGCTCAACCAAATACACACTTTGATGGGTAAGGATGGATACGATGAGACTCACATCCATCACGAAGACCAGTACATTACTGTTCACCGAGTGCACCCTGAATCTCGCAAGGGTTACTTCCTTATTGCACATACAGCTTTCCCAGGCTACGGCAATGGCAACGGTGATTTTAGCCCTGTTCATCTCACTGGAACTAAAGCTCGACACCTGGGTAGCTGGATGCTCGAGGTTGACGCTGGTGAGGAGGCGACACAACAAGTGCTTGGGGACAAGAAGTTCCTGCGCGGCTTGCCTAGCCGAGTTAAGGACGTACCCGGCATCCGCATGGAAATCAACGGCGACGACACTACCATCACTGTACGCGACAAGTTCCCCCTGGAAGTATCGCCCTGTTCGAGACTTGGATACCCGCTGCTGAGCATTCGTCTGGTTTGGACAACTATGTCACCTCAGGGTCCAAGGCAGCCTGGAATGAGCTCAGTTTGACAGACCTCAACTTCTTGATGTATCGATGCGAAGCTGAAGAGAGAGCCGAAAGTGATGGCCGAGATGGTGTCTACGACATTCCTGGACATGGAAAGCTTGTCTATGCTGGTCTCCAGGGATGGTGGAGTCTTCTCAAGAACATCATCAAAGACAACAACTTGGCCCACCCACTGTGCCAGAACCTACGTGATGGTGAATGGGCTCTAGATTACATCATTGCAAGACTGCAACGAATCAGTGCCACTCCAGGAAACGAAGCGCTTGCCCAACCCTTGAGATGGCTGGAGGAGCGATTTGATGCTATCCGAAAGATCCCTAGTTTCCTTCTCCCTCGTTACTTTGGTCTTGTCCTGCGTACTGCTTACATGGCAAGCTGGGACAGGTCTCTCGAGCTCATGAACTCCAGCGTCCGAGACGGCCAATGGTTTTTGCAAAGCTTGGCCATGGTCAGTGTTCAACAGGTTGGATATGTTAAGTCAGCATCCTTGTGGCCTTTCAAGTTGGTTCCTTCTTTGGCTGCTGGTCTCCCTCACTTCGCTGTTGAATGGGCCCGATGCTGGGGCCGAGACGTGTTCATCGCTCTTCGTGGGCTTCTCATCGGTACTGGGCGTTTTGATGATGCCAGAGAACACATCCTTGCATTTGCCAGTGTATTGAAGCATGGTATGATCCCCAACCTTCTCAGTAGCGGCGATGCTCCCAGGTACAACTCTCGAGACTCTATCTGGTTCTTCCTTCAGTGCATTCAGGATTATACACGTTTTGCCCCAGAGGGACTTGATATCTTCAAGGCCAAGGTCAAGCGTCGTTTCCTGCCTTACGATGACACTTGGTTCCCCACCAATGATGAGAGGGCATACTCGAAGGAGAGCACCATTGAGGAGGTTATCCAAGAAGCACTCCAAAGACATGCTTCAGGCATGAAATACAGGGAAGCTAATGCCGGTCCCCAAATTGATGCCCAAATGAAGGATGAGGGTTTCAACCAGGAGATCAAGGTTGATTGGAGCAACGGTATCATCTTTGGCGGTAACCAGTTTAACTGTGGCACATGGATGGACAAGATGGGTGAGAGTGAACGCGCAGGATCCAAAGGAATTCCTGGAACTCCTCGCGACGGTGCTGCTATCGAGATCACTGGTATGCTGTACAGCACTCTCGATTGGCTCGCTGGGCTTCATGAGAATGGAAAATATGCCTATGCAGGCGTGGACAAATCTGAGGGTGGCTCAATCTCCTTGGCTGACTGGGCTGGTCTGCTCAAGGCCAACTTCGAGCGCTGCTACTATGTCCCTATTTCTCCCGAGGACGATTCCAAGTACGACGTCAACACGCCGATTGTGAACCGCCGAGGAATTTACAAGGATCTCTACAAGTCAGGCAAGGAGTATGAGGACTACCAGCTACGTCCTAACTTTGCCATCGCCATGACCACTGCACCCGCTTTGTTCGACCCTGATCATGCTATGCATGCTCTGTGTGTTGCCGATGAGGCCCTTCGGGGACCCCAAGGAATGGCGACTCTGGACCCTGCGGATCTGAACTACCGCCCTTACTACGTCAACAGTGAAGATAGTGACGATTTTGCTACAAGCAAGGGCCGTAACTACCACCAGGGACCTGAGTGGATCTGGCCTACTGGTTTCTTCCTCCGAGCCCTGCTCAAGTTCGATCTCAAGAGGCGAACAACACCCGAGGGTCGCACTGAGGCGTTCCAGCAGGTTACCCGAAGACTGAGCGGGTGCAAGAAGATGATCCAGGAGAGCCCTTGGGCTGGTCTCCAAGAGCTGACGCAAAAGAATGGCGAATACTGCGCCGACTCCGTAAGTCGATTTTCCGAATATGTGACCACATTTATCGTATACTAATCTCTATACAGAGTCCCACACAAGCTTGGTCGGCAGGATGTCTGATCGACTTATACATGGACGCTACTGAGGAGCAGAATAAGGCATAGAGCCTTTTTAAGAGGAGGAAGTGATGATGAGACCTGAGAGTTGGGCATAGGCTTGGATCAAACATACAATACCACGCATTAACTACTACTATAACATTCTCCTGATTAGGTTAATAACAAGCACCTTTAAGCGTTGTAGCATGAACTTTGTTGAGCCAAAAGCCAAAATGAAAATTGTGCAGATTGAGTTCCCCGAATTGCTGACGTTGTTGCAATGTTGCTCATAAGACGTTACTGTTATAAGTAGAGCAACATTACGTAAAAATTTCCGAATCACAAGGTATCGCACGAAGAACTAGTAATTGCGAGCTGAAGATTCCGCGGGTGGTAAAATTGTAATGCTGTATCAAGGATAGACTCCAAACCTCTTCCCGTGCCCAGGAAGCTGTAGGTAATAAGATGACCAAATAACTAACCAGAGAGTATTTCTGTTCTGGTCTAAATAAAACAAATAAACAGCTTCGTTTTTTTTCTCGCCTCGCGGCAGAGCCAACGTCACGTCACATTCCACCCACATACCGGGAATGGAGGCGAGGCTCGTTCCGTGGTAACAGCCACCACAAAACGGAAACAGAAACAACAAATCAGGAGGATACGCCAACCTCCTCTTCCTCCCAACGCCAGAATATACCTGAAATATGAACAAGAACGCCACGGGGGGAACAGCACCAATGGATACCGACAAACGCATGAGCGTTGAGCCATGAGAGACATCGCAGACGGTGTCTTTCAACCATGCTTGGATAACCAAGTGTCTGCGTGTATCTAGCTATTACCAAATGCATTTGTTTCCTCCTCTTTAAGTGCTGATGTAGCCCCCCTCATCAACTAAAAGTCATATGTTTTCGATGATATCGAATAGAGTAAGGCCGTTTAAATGAATAAATGCACGGTTTATATCGTAAGGTGAACAGCATGTCGAAGTGCTTTTGAACTCGGACATGGCAAGGAGAATCGTTATGAGATCGGAACTAGCGTTAACAAGATCGAGCATGAAGTGAGGTATCATGTTCGGTCGCGGACGATCCATCGCTTCTTCTCCTTGGGCTTCTCCTCGACGGGGGCACCGGCGGCAGCACCCGGTAGCATCAGGCCGTGCGAGTTTCGGTTCGATTCGTCGTCGTAGGGAAGACCTCCGGACTCTGAGGCCTCCATGCCGGGACCCCAGGATGGTCGAGATGCGGAGCCGGAGTGCTTCTGGCCGAGGTGAGTCTGGCGATCCTTCTTGCGCAGATAACGGCGACGCCAAATACAGGCGCCGATCCAAATGGCTGCGATGCCGACAACGAGAACAACAATCATGATGACCCATTGCCAATGGTTGGAAATCCTGATTCAAGTTAGAATAACTCAAGGGTTTTTAGAAGTAAACCGTCAACATACCAATCACCACCACCTCCATTGTTGGATCCAGCTCTGCTACCAGCTGTTGATGAAGCACCGTCACCTGTCAAAGTCGTAGAGCCTTGTCCAGTTTTCTTGGTTGTTCCTCCATTTTGAGCAGTCGAAACGCTACACATGCTTCGGAACCAGCCAGCGATCGATGAAAGGCCCTTGGGATCCGCGGTACATGCTTCGTCGCAGACGCCTGTGGTGGCGGTCGAGAAAGCGGCGACTCGCTGGTCGAGACAGAAACATTGCGTGTAGGCGGTTGGGCCGGCATCAGCGGCTACTTGAGGAGGAACACAGGCACCGTTGGCATCGTAGAGCGGACCGCAAGCGGCGGCGCAAGCGGGAAGGACTTTCTGGTTGTTGAAGGGAACGATGGTGGTGATGGGGGCTTCACCTCCTCCTTGTTGGGCTGCAAAGATTGAGTGTTAGTATGAGGGGATTTGCGAAAGCGAACGGGATTGAAGTTGACGGATGACGCACCCATTTTGACGAAGATTAAAGGTCAGTTAACCCCAATTCGGAGAGCTCTATAGTCGATGTCGTGGTCGAAGTCGGCGTCGAAGGGAGAAAACGAGCGACGGGATCGTGAGGGTAAAAGATACGACACGATACAGACAGTAACGAGAGACGAGGATTAAGCTTGTGTTCAGTGGAACCGGGGGGCGGGAAGTGTCCTTTGTATGTGTGTGTGAGGGAGAGGCCTGACGAGGTAGGTATGTACAGCGTAGAAGCGACCTGGAAATGCTGTGTCTTTAGCCAAGGCTGGCTTGCGTTTGTGCAATACGCTATTGAAAGAGTCGTGTCGTCACCAAACCACTTTGAGTAGAGGGGAATAAACAAAGTCTGACTGTAGCCAAGCCCAACGTCTTTTCTTTGTCGTTTTCTTCTTTTAGGGTCTGATGGAGAACAATGTTATCAGACGACCCAGCAGGATTCGGTAGTTGGTCGAAAGAAGAATCGATTTCACTTGCTGATCGATAATCGATGGTTGATGAGATGGCTGGGAAGAGGCAGAGAGAGAGAAAAAGAGTGGGCGGGAGACACAGACGCAGAGTCACAGTGAACAACAGCCTGCAGCCGGGGAAAAACTGGGCCACTATCTCACTGTAAGCGGCAGAGTCGGACGACTTTGTAGCGGGACAAGACAAGGGCCAGGGGTGTTTTGAGCTTTGGTGTTTTTTTTCTGGCAGCGGGTGCAAGGGAAGGGGGAAGGGGAGGGCCCGTTTGTCTTGTCTTGTCTCGTCTTTTTAGATGCGACGGTCTTGCCGAACTCGGAAATGGATTGGAATTGTGAGGAGATGACTTGATGATAACATTTGGAGGGGAATGCACAGTAAATGAATGTCACCAAAGCATGCATTCGCTCACCTAAACATCTGGAGAATCTGGAGGGAAAGAAATTCTTGCCGCGTAAGTCAACTCTGGGCACTTTCACTGGATGGTAGCAGCCGCCCAGCCCCAACCCATTGGTACGAGAACAAAAAAAGATCACGCCAAGAGACCTGGGTCCCAAGTATCTACGGAAAGCCCGGACGGCATCTACATATGGCGTCGGTACATAGTCCCCATGTATCTTGGTTCAGGTCTGGTTGTATCACGCGGTCGAATCCAGTGGCCTGGGCTTGGCGCATGGGCTTGTCCAAAGGCAACAAGAGAGTTTCTGTATTGGTAACTGTATTTGTACTTGTTGTATTTTGGATGTATCATGCGGAGAAGATCATTCTCACCAAAAACGTTGCATTGCATATAATGTCTGCCCCTTTTTGTGTCTCTTCTCTCTTTTTTTTCTGTTTCTGGTGTTTCCGTCTTATCTTGTTTTGTTTACTTGGCCCTGTCTTGTCCCTTACAGTAGAACAGGAAACGTCTGAGAGCGTCTCAGTTTCAGCGCAACATTGATGAGAGCCCACAGTCTGTATCACTAATTATCATGGCCGTATTAATGTTGAACTGTACAACTGTGCCACCTCGTACAACGACATTACCGTTACCGTCTTGCAGGCCTCTCACGTATACAGACAGATACAATCTAACCATTTTTGGTGGTATTATGAACTACTGTCCAGCGGCAGAGACCTCGAGAGCTGAACATGTTGACTTCCAGTGGGAGACTACGGTAAAAAAGAGCCGAAATCGTGCCCAGCCCAGGCCATTCAGCGGAGTTGCGTGCCTGAAATAGTGTTTCCCCACTACCCACTTCAAAGTGATTGGTTGGATTTTGGGTTTCTCCGTCATTGCAATTTCCGATGCGTGCGCCTCTTGTTCTCATGTTGCCCAACAAAGAAACCTCAAATGATAGAGATTTATCAGAAAACGGCAGGTCAATTGTGTTCTAGAGTGTTATCCCCTGCCAAGAGCAAGATTCACCTTTATCTGACTTTTTCAACTGCAACTTTGAGACTTTGGTATGTGATGTACTGTCCCTTACCTCAACACCATCTTCATGATGTGGTACCCAGATACGAATACAGTAATACAACTTTAAATGCGCTCAAATACGAGAAATTTCATCCATCTCGGCAGCCTCGATTTGGTGAGATAGACCTTGAGTATCCATACTTGGCTGTTAATGCGTGTAATATCGACAGCCATGACGACGACTCTATAACACACGGATCAACTGTCAGCTCTGCCTTTAGCTTGTCAAAGCATTTATTTACAGTTAATGCTTGACAGTCAAGCCATGATATCGCTGTCAGAATTAGCTTCCGCCCTATTCTTCCAGCCTTCCATTAGCTGCACCGTATTTTAACCGTCACATTGAGTTCATCATGCACACAACACCAAGCCATTGCCAAGATATTGCCTAGACTGAAGTATCTTGGAACCTCATTTCTGGGCATGCCATTCATGTTGAGAACATTATGTTTTTAAGTTAACCGCTAGACTTGGTCTTTTATGATATTTGTTGCTACAAAATAAATATTCATGTCATATCCAAACCTAAAACCTCCATTCTTGACTATTCCCGATTCATATGAGCCATCCCATGACGTGCATTTACCTATAAATCCACTCAAGTCATGTGGTCACTAGCTTATTATTGCTTCTATCAGAGCATCTAGAAACATGACAAACAGCTCAACACGTTAATCTAGTGTGTCAAAGTCTGGAATTTTACGTGACAGTTTCTCCCTGTCAAAGAGGGTCTCTAACCTGTAACATGTCAAGGTGGATGAATAAAGTAAAACAATTGTCTCGGATTAATATCTTGATCCACAGTCTGATATCCTCAACATTCAATCCCTCTCTCAAACATCTCCATCCTCCTCTGACATTTGACCCAGAGTAAAATATGGCGCCATGAGACGCTAATCGTCGCTACCAAAAGCCCCAGACTCCAGTTGATCGTGTTCTCCAACTTGGCTTTATCAAGACTTCTCGCCTGGTCTGTGATGGTTGTGCAGATCATCTCTTGACGTCTTTGCCTTTGCCGCCTGGCTGATTCTCCTCTTCATCTTCATCATCGGAAATCTCCAACTCAGCTTGTTCCTTTTGTCCTTCCTTTTGACCCTCTGGCGGTCTCTCCGCCACATAAGAAACATGATTGAAGTGGCCTTCCCTGGCTGGTTCGTTCAAGGCTCGCTGCAGCATGAATGATTGGTACGGTGTTGCTTGAGCGTTGCCTCCTCCACCTGATGTGGTCGACGTATAGGTCCTTGCCGGTGGATTCTGCGTAGATGGATTTCCTCCAGATCCAGATGGCTCACCATTCACCGGTTGAGAGGCTTCTCCTTTATTGCCAGTTCCAGCCTTCTTTGGTTGATTAGGCTTCTTTGACTGATCAGGCATGATGATAGGCAGATTCTGTGAAGACTAATTTTAGAGTATGCGGAGAGTGTTTCCAAATGATAAAGCGTTATCTTAAAACTTCAAGATGAAAGTGTTCTTTGCGTGGACTAAAGTCTCTAACAAGTTCTTGATGATCATGTCCAAGGGGAGGATGCCTAGAATTTATAGTCCAAGAGAACAAGAGGCTCTCATCCGTTTGTATTGCAGACGATGCAAACTCTCCTAACGAAATTCAAGCATGACCTCTTATGACTCTAGTGGTAAAGCAGACAACTTCATACTCTGTTTGTTGGCTCATTGCCAGACCGCAAAGTATGGTCACTGGTTACACTGGGATGCTCTGGGATCAGGGTTGAAGTTATATCGTCGGTGATTCATCTGGCAATCGAGCACTCAGGGGACAATCTGATGTTCACGCACGCTACTGCATGTGTATCCTATTCTGGATAGTATGGTCGTGTTGGGATAACACGCATTCACTCTTGTCTGATTGTTTGATGAATCAGCGAGGAGGGGTTGTAGTGTTATGCAGCTCATGAGGCCAAAACACCATATCTCTTTGCTATGAAGATGATATATCCAGTGGCAGCTCTGAATCTGCCTCCTGAGGCGTACACCGGACTATCATGCCGTATCTCAGCTACCTTTCATATGCGATCATTGTTCGGGCCTTTCTATCCTCGCCGCAGTAAACGCCGATGATAATGTCTACCATCTATTACGAACAATACATGAAGCTAGGGATAGTGACGGATGAGATTCAGTCGGCTTATCATCCATGTCAAGACTCGAGGTCCCGCTCAGTGATTCTCATGCGGCTACCCGTTGTCTTAATGGGTAAAGCCGTTTCGACTCTGGTCTCCAATCATTCGCAACCACCAACACTCTCAGCTTGATGCATCTCTCGCATCTTACGCAATGTGTCCCACAAGGTGAAGCAGTCATCGATCTTGTGAGCGCGGGTGATTGCAGACTAAATCAGCTATAGAGCATGAGGAGTTTCCCAGAATGTTTGTAGATTAGCAAAAAGAGGCCAGAGCTACGCATGATTCTAGAATTGTTTCAGTTGCGCTATTGATTTGGATGTTACACCAAGGGCATGTGAGCCTATGAGCGTGGCAAACGGGGACGGCAGATGCGATAACAAACTCACGAGGTGAGATGGTGATGCGCGCATCCTGAATAATATGCGTATCGGCATGAATTAATGTCGATACCCGTCTAATTAATGCATAAGCAGAAATTTGAGACATGTTAGTATTATACGCTCGTGGTGCCCATCGCTTCTTTACAGATGCACAACATTAGCTTGCTTCGATATCAGGTTATTGAAACAATAGCGCCGAGAAGCCGACTGATACTTGACTATTCCCTAGAGGCATCGAACAGTCGATCAAATTTAGCTTGTGAGCTTTCTTATACGAGATCTTATGTTTCCTTGGCTATAGAGTCATCCGCTAGCCTCACAAATGAGTTCACAGACAGGTGAATCACGATAAAGGATAAATCGCAAGATCTAAATTTTGTAAACGAGAGATGGTGTCTTAGATTAACAACTTTTGGTTCTTGTTCGTAGATCCGACCACTGAGACTGCAAAGCCCCCAAGTTCAACTCATTTGATGCTCTTAGCACAATCTAAAAGACATTGCCCTTAGTCTGCTGTCTGTCGATCGGCTTGTTGCGCCAGACAAGAACACAGATACAGATCAAAGGCAAGAAAGCGCATCCGGCAATGACCATCTCGCGCTGTACAACTCCATAGGCGTGAACAATGGCATCCCGGATAGGGGTACCAATAGGGTCGGCCATCTGCAGCTTCATGTCACCATAGAGGGCAGCGGTTTGGTTCTTGGCGTCCTGGGGAAGAGCCTTATACATTTCTCTTGGTAGGTCGTTGGTCCATAGGGCACCAGAGATGCCGAAACCGATAGCCTGGCCGATAGAGCCAAACATGGAGTAAAGTGCGAGCACAACGGCAATCTCCTGGTGGGTAACTTGAGTCATAATGGCGAGAGGCCCAGTCATGGCCCAGATACCACCACAAACACCATGGAAAACCTGGCACATGACAAGGTAACCAATGTCATTCCCAGGCTGTCGGAAGTGAATGAGAAGTGCAGTACCAAGGATACACCATGGGATGCCAAAGGCTGCGGGCCAGTAGTATCTTCCATACCAACGGAGGAAACTAGATGTCTTGTTAGCAGAATGACCAGAATTAAATAGACAGGGTAGCAAAACGTACAGTCCGATGAAGGGTGCCAGGATAGTTGACGTCACAGAGAAGGCGTTTAGAGTGTATCCAGCGGTGGCGATGCTGAGACCATGAACAACCTGGAGGTACGAGTTGTAATAGGTGTCCCAAGCAAAGATAGACATATTGAGAAAAGCGCTTAGAAGGCAAGCACCTAGGATGGTTCGGTCCTTGAGGAACTTGAAAGGCACATAGGGCACCTTAGCATACCACTTCTCCCAGGCCGCAAATCCAGCAAGGCATACAACGCCGACAACAAGCATTGCGATGATATAGTCAGTCTTCCAACCGTTGGGAGCGCGAGTGGCAATGTTGAGAGGGGTCAAAATAAGAGAAAAGCCAGCAATGGTGAGGATCATGCCAACAATGTCAAACTCGACAAAGTAGTACTTGGTTGAGTCCCAGATACTGCGTTGACTCTTCTCTGGCAGGTATCCAAGCTTCTTAGCCTTGATTTCATGATACATGAAAATGGCAGACACGGGGATAGAGAAGAAGACAAGGATAATACAGAAAGATCCGAAAGCCCAGCGATAGGTCGAGTGCTTGAAGAACAGCTCAGCGATCTTAGGGCCACCGAAAGTTGAAGCAAGTCTGGGGCTCATGTAAAGGCCGAACATGATCATACGGTTGCGAAGAGAAGTCATGTCTGAGAGAACAACATCGATGATGTAGCTTAAACCAACGTGGCCAACCCAGTAAAAGGTATGACCAGCAGCGTAAGTCTCGACATTCTTGCAGCAGGCTTTCATAATCATTCCGATGATAATGATCAGAATCATCAGCAGGAACCCCTCGTTACGACCGCGGATATCGATGATCTTGGCGATCGCGAGCTTACTAACACCAGCAATAATGGAACCAAAAACACTGGTGATTGCAAGCAGGCCGTGCTGGCTGAACGAAGAAGTGACATATGGCACCAAGCTGGAGTGAACAGCCTGAAGGAGAGTATCGACGAAGTTGACCAAGTATAGGCTGTACCAATGTTAGCTGATTTTCGGTGGCTTTAAGTAGAAACATCGGAAGACATACAAGATGAAGACAGCCCACATCATACCAGGAGACCAGACCTTTGTGATAGCTTCAACACGCTTGACACCATCCTGCTTGATCTCAGAGCCGTCATCGGAATCATGTTCCTTTTCCTTGTCGGGAAAATCGTTGATGACATGGTTCTCAGGCTGGATCTGCTTTTCGAAGTCGCCCTGGGCTTGAGAAGGGCTAGTAGGAGCGGCCATTCTTTCTTTTCTGAAGCCTCTGAGTTTCAGTGATGATCAGAGAGCTCAAAATAGAGTTGTAGAGAATGTAAAGAGGCACCACGAGTGGGTTACACTTGGCTGGGGCGCTTTATACTTAAAGAAGTGGCATGAAGGAACAAAAGTGCAACACAGGAACGTGATTAAGGCCGCGGATTTATAGGCAGCGTTACATTCTCCAAAAATATTCGCGACATCCCGTCTTGTCTCTTCCTCCATGAGTGGCAAGACAATGGAACGGACTATCCATCTTCTGGGTCCGTAGGGATTAGTTTTGCATCGAACCTGTCCTGTAGAGATGCCAGTGCCTTGTTCCGGAAGTCGGACTAATGCCAAGCTCATTGACAGAGAAAAAGTTCGCAGAGAAGGGTCAGGAAGGCCCCTGGGGAGCAAGAAAACTTCTGACGTTACGCCAGGGTGCCAAAATTAACTGATCTAAAGGCCTGCTAAGATATACTAAACTTACCTGAGTCTTTTCATCACTTAGGATAGAGGTCCTAAGTTTTCTTGCCTCCCCTAGGAAGGGTCATGGATTCATGGTTCCTGTATTGCAGTCAATGCAGTGGATGATTTTGGGTGGAGTTTCTGCGGTAAGACGGATGAGCACCGTTTAGCACCGGACAGAATTCTAGCGTCAGGGAATAACTCTTTATTCTCATTGGGAGAAGCTTGAAGGATTCATGCTGCTAGATGATCACTTCCACAACTGGTCTAATACCGAGCTCTAGCCGCTGCAGAGGCTCTTTGCGATTCAGGGATGCTCGCCGAAGTTGCCTTTATCTGATCATCAGATAAGCCGATAAAGGAGGATTTAGTGGAGAGGCCCATCGCCTAATCCAAGTCTATACAAAGGATCCCAGTATAACGAGTCCATAGTCGTTGCCGTCGGGTGAACTCTCACAGTCCGGTCCTCGACAAGAGTTGCTAGAGTTGATAAAGATCTCTCCCAAGCACCAGTCAGAAACTTGATGACCCCCGATTGATAAAATCTACGGTTCTCGAGAATGTGATTTAGCTGCATGTATGCAGGGCTTAATCCTTGTATGCCTGATTCTTGACCAGTTCGCTTGGCAATCGTCGTGAGACCCGTTGAGGCAGCCTGCCAGCTATCCGTCTGATTCCGGACCCGAGAACGAACTCCTCGATCAAGCTACCGGCGAACTAGCAGAGTTTTACTTACCGTCTTGAGGCCGCGGTGGGTTTAAGTTGAGGCGCTTCAGCCCTGGCGACTCTTTTCAGCCACCAACGACTGATCATCTAGATAAGATAAGATCTCTTGAAATAATGTTTTCCTTGTTGGTTCATGGCAGCTCCGTGTCGCTTAAGCAGCCCTTATTCGTATTTTTTCGTTGCATTGTGTGCTCTACGTAACTGCAGGTCGACAAAATAGTTGTTCTATTGTACTTGTCAAAAAATCGTGATGTGGAAAGGCGAACTTGGGAGCTGTTTAAACAACACCTCTGACCTCATCGCGAACTAGTAGGCAAAAGCGCGTTGTTTCCGGTGGACAACATGAAGCCATCGCCTCTGGCCGGCCAGTGGAGAGCTCTAAGCTGAAAATCCTGGACAGTTCCACATCGTCTGACTGGCCTTCTTCACTAGCTCACGATGCTTCCATGAGGCCAAGAAGGATGAGAACGGAGTTTACCGAAGTGTCGGAGTCTTAATGCAGTGGAAAGTGGAGGGTTTGAAGGGGAAGGATTCTTTTGCAGTGGAGCCCTCTGGTCTTATGCGACCCCCGTTCAACCAATCCTCTTTCTTGTCATGAGGTCTTGCTTGAAAGATCGTTCGAGCAGGCGTGGGGGCCTTAAAGATAATCCAATCTCCAGACCCTTCCTCGGAAATGAATAGATAATCTTGACCTAGAAAGCCGTTAACGCATCGTGGTTCCACAGAGCAATACGCAGAGTGAGCTTCTGGCTCAAGTGATATATCAAAGAGATGATCTTCTTGTCTGGAGGCATAAGTCGAGCTTCTTTCAAAGGACATAATGATCTGGCTTTGAAACAACCCAACAGATGCCTAGACTTTTGGATTGGCAGTCACCCGTACACTTAGCTATGAGCGATTCATTTTTATAGTAGTACTGGTCTATTGTCATGTACGTTTTGACAAATAAGTCATTGGTTTTCAATATCAACTTCCAGGTTACAGGGTCCGGATATAAAGCAATAGAGAACGGTTATTAGAGTTTCGATTTAATCATCGCTACAGGTCTCTGACCTCTGAAACGGTCTCTTCATAACGAAGGCTATTTTAAATATCTACCCCTACATGCAGTTTCAAGGCCAATAAGAATGCAAGCCACATATCATTCAACTAAAATCCTCCAAGAAGAGCAGGTCTCCGTAGCTAAATAACCTCTAAAACCTTATATGGTCTACAATGCCTTCGATAGGTGACATTGGATATATGTTAAAAGCTATATTCGGTAACATTCATCGTTTTCTCATTAAGATTTGCTTAAACTTTACTCAATAAATCAGCGCAACGTCTTAAATAAGCCGGCAAACGGAGTGATATCCGAGGTGGCCATAAGTAAGCTTCACGTACCGACAGAGCCCCTCCTAATGGAGAAATAGGTACCAGGTGCTTCAAGAAGCACTAGAATATACGTTTCTCTCGAAGGTGGTACTCTTAATATTTATGTGCTCCAGCGTTGACAACGTGAAGACTCTCCCCCCAAGATAGTGAAACAACTCGCAGAAAAAAAGCTAAGGCGTGAAAGTGCTGTTTACCATCATGAGTGAGGTCGGAGGCTTCAGAATGCGTATGATTGAATTCCCACCTTAAGAAGAAGGGGCAAGGGATGTTGAAACTCCTTATTCTTTTACACTTCAAGCTCATGCTGTTGCCGAGCCTAGAAACTTTCAACAGACATACATAAACTTTTGAATATTATATGACACAAAGTGACTATCCAGATTCCAGACTGATATAAATAATAGCCTTCATCCTTTACTATCTAGATTCTGTTCATATTTATCTATCCTTGTTTCTTGAATTTCAACCGACAACTAGCACAAAGAAACAATAAACGATTAGGCTACTGAACCAAAGATCCTTTGCTTTAACAGCTTATATACAAAACAAACGCAATGGCTCCATCTATCCCTCTATTCACTCCTACCAAAGGGAATTATCTTGGACCTGAGGAGTTCTACGCCAGTCTCGATGAGGAGGTCGACACGAACGTCAAGGCCTTGGCAGAATATCATTCTAGTTCTTATTATGAGGATCAACCATCCTTCTTTGAAAGCGCTTTCTGCGGCAATGACGATTCATCCATTACTAAGGAGGACCTTTTCGGTGCCAGGATTGTCCACCGTACTGAGATGGATATTGACTCGGAGCACAGCCGCCCTAATTGTCATGTTGAGGATGACTCGAATCTCGATGGCCATGACTCTTCACTTCTCGTCGAATCTGGTTACGGTCCTGAGTCTTCGGACACAAGTCCCGCTCGTCCTGGTGTTTTGCTCTCCGATGTTTTTGTCCCTGATGACTCGACTTTGGATACCGAACTTCACTCCTCTAATGGTTCAGCGAGCATTGAAAACCACATCAAACATGACACAGTTAAGAGCCTACTGTTGGAAACAGAATCCACCACTTCCGACAGCAAAATCATGCGGGGTCGAATTAAAGCCGATTTTAATGAGGAAATGCTTCAGGATGCCATAGCCATCCTAAAATTCCAAAGCCTCGTTGTCTTAAATGAGCAAGGTCAAGCTCGCCTCAGAAAAGACATTCCCATAATGATGACCCATTGGGTGACACAAAGTTTGGCGGATACTCTCTTGGCCCCAGAGGACCAGTCCATTGTTGACAGTATATACAACCTTCACCAACTTATACTGTCTCGCATCAAAGACTACCTGAATAAGGCGACCTCTGATTTCCTCCCACGAGCATATCGCGGTCTTCCTGTTGTTGAGTCGGGTTTGACTTATACCGGGCACCCAAGGCTTGAGGGGGAGTTTGACCTGGATCTTCTTAACAAATCTGGACGAAAACTTCTTTTCTGGGCTTTCTTAAGACATGAGTTGATGAGCAAGGTTCGCCTTTACGTTGCGATTATTCATCGTGGCTATAGGCCTCCAGTCGAACTGAATCGACGAGGAGGCCATAAGTTTTTACCATGGGAGGACGAAGCCATCAGGTGTGTTCAGACATATATACAGACTCTGTATACAGCCTTCTTTGCCGAGTGGTCTGGAGCTGAGTTGCCGGATTCACCACCCCCGGGACTTGGACGCTCCAACAGCATGGTCTGCGAGACAGCCCAATGGGTAGAAGCGCTCACAGAAGATAAGTCCGTGTGCGCTACGGCCGCGGCAAGGCTACCGGCTTATGGCCTTGAGCCCATCATGAGCCTCATGGACGAGAGACAGAAGCAGCAAGCCCAGGAAACTCGTATTGAACCTGCACGATCTCTTCTCAGAGATGCCAAGTTTCGTTGTGATTATGAGCATGCCCACAAAGAAACCGTCTCAGGGAACTTTGACAGAGAAAAAGGCTTGGTTCCAGAATTATGGATGGACATCGTACTTCATCATGGCACGCCTCGCAATTATACACAAGAGAATCTTGCCCTGCTCCGACAGCGCGCATGGGTTTTTTTCTGGGGCTCGCCAGCTCATCCTCAGCGTGAGGCTTTACTCAACATATCTCAGGAAGCGGGCACTGAACTTTCCGGTCTTAAGGGATGGGAACGTTCTTTCCTTCAAGCAAAACCCGCAAGTAAAGATTCAGAGGAGATGGTTGAGGGTTATACTTTACACTCCGTTGCTGAGCCACAGTCTCGCACGACCGCTGACAGCTATGTTACTCAAAGAATACCGAGATTCTTCCTCAATGATCGCGAAGAAAATCTTGGAGGTAGTTTAGGCAGATCTGCACTCGAAGCAGAAAGCACACCTCGGTAATTCAACACTATTTTGCACGTCTGGAACCTGGCTCATGTAAGTGAGGTAAATGACTTGTAAGATTTCTTCTTGGTACAGGGTAGATGTTTGATATGATGCATGACTCAGCAACTAAAGCTCATGTGGGTCCTCCTTCACCGTCTCCGTACGTCATCGGTTCTAACTCGTCAGGCGCCACAACTTGAACCTGAATGGCCTCAGCCTTGCATTTGCGTCTCGCACAACAACTCCCAGCACTTGTCGCTGTGAGTATTCATCATCATCCCTCGCGATGAGCAAAAATGATTCATGCTGGGATGAGAAAGTCATCGCCCCTGACACCGGGAAGAGTCTCGAGGTCCAGCTCGTACTGTCCTTAGTGATTGGTATTTCGGCCTTCTTCCTCTTCTGTGTACGTTCGTCCTTGGCACGCTTGCGAAACACCTCACGCTTCCTCGATTATAAAGTAAAGCTATAAGATACAGAACTGACTCCTTTAAAGTTCCTACGCCCACGATGGCCCGCCCTTTACGCTGCGCGAAAACGGCGTCTCGATCACCAGCTTGGTCTGCCTGCCCTACCAAATTCCACGTTTGGCTGGATCCCGACACTATTTAAAATCACCGAGGAGCAGGTTCTGGCTTCCGCCGGACTCGATGCTTTTGTGGTACGACATAAATCCCGAGAAGCCTATGTAAATCGCTGACAGATCATAGTTTCTGAGCTTCTTCAAAATGGCCATCCGACTCTTTAGCATCATGGCATTCTTCGCGACGATTATACTATTACCAATCAATGTTTCCTTTTCGGAAACCAAAAAGAATAAGGGCCACAGTGGTAATGATACATCGATTGAGCCGGGCTCGTTTTATGGAACAGATCAAAACGTTTTCTCAGATGCAAGCTTCCTCGACATACTTAAGCACAAGGACAAAACGGACAAGAGTTACGAGAAGTCTTGGCTGTGGGCTTACGTTATTTTCACATACTTCTTCGTCGGCTTGACGATATACTATCTCAACCTCGAGACATTTCGCGTCATCAAATTTCGTCAGGACTATCTCGGATCACAGTCCACCGTAACAGATAGGACGTTCCGACTTACAGGTATTCCCGAGGATCTGAGATCAGAAGAAAAGATCAAGGATCTTATCGAAAAGTTGGGCGTTGGGAAAGTTGAGAAGGTCATGCTTTGTCGAGACTGGAAGAAACTTGACGATCTTGTGGAATTGAGAGACGCTACCTTACGACGCCTTGAGGGTGCCTGGGCCACTTTCCTTCAACATCAGCGCCGAAAAAGAAAGAATGCTGGATTTCAACGAAGACGTGGCAACGGCGTGTCTCAGGACCAAGAAGACGACGACCAAACCGGAGAAAATGGGCGCCTCTTGGACTCTCAACAGGAGCCTTGGGACTCTGGAGATGAGGGCAGACCTAAAGTTAACATACGCTATGGGACCCTTGGTTTGCGATCCCGCAATGTTGATGCTATCGACTACTACGAGGAGCGACTTCGAAGACTGGATGCCCAAGTTATAGAGGCTCGCAAGAAGACATATGCACCTACAGACATGGCCATTGTTACTATGGACTCTGTTGCTTCATGTCAGATGGCTATCCAAGCACGAATCGACCCCAGACCAGGCCGGCTTTTGACCAAGTTGACACCGGCCCCTTCAGATCTTGTCTGGAGGAATACATACGCTCCCCGTGGTATTCGCCGCCTCAAATCCTGGGCTGTGACTTTGTTCATCACGGCTCTCACACTGGCATTCATTTTCCCCACCGTTGCCATTTCCTCATTGTTGAGTTATTGCACAATTGAGCGTAATTTCCCAGCATTTGCCAAATGGCTACAAGCGCACGGCGTTATATTCTCGTTGGTCCAAAACGGCTTGCCTGCTTTGGTTGTGTCGCTTCTTAACGTTGCTGTTCCGTATCTATACGACTTCCTCTCCAACCACCAAGGAATGATTTCACAGGGTGACGTGGAACTCTCTGTCATCTCCAAGAACTACTTCTTCACCTTCTTCAATACCTTCTTTGTTTTTGCAGTTTCATTGACAGGAATAAATTTCTGGAGCAGGCTTCAGGAGATTGCGAAGGACACAAGCAGAATGCCGCGCGAGATCGCCGGTGATGTGGAGAAGCTATCGATTTTCTATATTTGCTTCATTATGCTACAAGGCATTGGACTTATGCCCTTCCGAATTCTCGAGGCAGGAAGTGTATTCCTTTATCCGTTCCTACATTGGCTGTCCAAAACACCACGCGACGCTCTCGAGCTCAAGAAACCCCCGGTTTTCCAATACGGCTTTTTCCTACCTACGTCTCTACTTGTTTTTAACCTGTGCCTTATCTACAGTGTCTTGGCCTGGGGATATGCTATTCTCATCGTTGGGACCGTCTATTTCTGTTTGGGCTACTTTGCTTTCAAGTACATGGTACTCTATGCAATGGACCAGCCTCAACATGCCACTGGAGGTGCGTGGAGGATAATAAGCTACCGCATCATCATTGGGTTGCTTGTCTTGGAGGTTGTTATGGTAGGCCGAATCGCCACCAGTGAGGCATTCATTCAGTCGGTGTGTATCCTGCCACTGATCCCTTTGACCATCTGGTACAGCTACTACATCAAGCAACGGTTTGAACCTTTGACTAGATACATTGCGCTTCGCGCTGTTAGGGCAGATGAGGATTCAGATGATGCAGCTGCACTGGATGACGCGTTTGAGAACGAGGACCGCCCCCGACCTTCGCAGGCCATTCTGCGCCGTGGAAGTACCCTAGACGAGTACAAGGAAAAGGGACTGCAATTCGTCAACCCCAGTCTTGTGGCCCCGTAAGTTACCATGTACCTACCATGTATGACATAAATTCTGACAAGACATACAGACTTCCCCAGCCGTGGATCTACGATGAGCCACCTCCACCAATCCCCACGGATGACACACAGACAACAGAGGAGACTGAACGCCCTGTTCTGCAGGGTGTCGATAGCACACTCGGGATAGGAGACGAAAACGTTTGGAGAGACAATGGAGGAAGTAATGTTTAATGACGTTGGTTGAGGGTGGCATGCATGATTACGGCGCTTGCATGGGTTTGAAGTTTGAGCAGGTACCCCAATGTCCTTTTCTTTTGTCACAAGAATACACGTTAGCTTTTTGGCCGTCAGCATCGTTCTTAGAACAATCGAAGATATATACAAATCATGAAATTGAAGCGCATTCGAGTCGTGAAACTGAGTTAAGTAAGAACCAACCTGACCTGGCCCTTCCCCTTTTCGCGTTGGGCACTTCCAATCCCGTGAGCTTGACAACAGTGCTTGCCTTTGTCAACAATGACTGAAGGGGTCATTTTTCTTCTCCGTCATCATCATTCGTTTGGCCAACTATCAACAAGCACATATCACGAGAACATTCGCTCATACCTACATATACATTCTATACACACCATTCGAGATCTGCTCAGATCGCGACTACCTGCCTCTTGATGTGCCATCGGCGGTAGCCTCGCTAAGCGCATGTTCTGACAGGGTATATGCGGCTGATGCGCTTCGACTCCGGCGACGTTCGGTAATCTGTTCGGTCCAGTCGGGAACGTCTTCAACATTCCGGTAGCAAGCCCAACGGCTTGACTTTAGGGAGCGACACAGGGGTCACGGAAATGACCCTTCTGAGTGGGGACGTCAGAGCATACGATCAATTCTCCCCGTTCATGGAAGCACGCGATAACTATGACCATCAACAGCAGCATCCCGATAGAAAACAAAGCCTAGACCAAGAAATAACCACCAGCAACATCAGGGATCACTACAGACCTGTTCCCTTGGGCGATGGAGACTACATTTTGTACACGGATCCTAGAACCGGGACCCTTTCTTTGGGCTCTGATGCAACGGGAGGGGCTTTGGATCGCGTAATTTGCAAGGCCCAATTTCGTCCTCCAATAAATCCGACGTCAACGCTGCCCGTGTTATACACAGCTGTATCTGACACGAGATTCGGGGTCTGGGTCATGGCGACATTTTCGGTTGGCAGTGGATACGACAGTCCAGGAGAGGACATCTGCACCAGACCCATCAACCCCGATCCGTCAATATCTTCAGACACAGACAAACAGATGATTGTTCTTTACATGATACCGCCAGATGTACTTGCCGTCATATCTCACGACCTATGTCGTCAGCATTGCATGGATGCCACCCAACATGATGAGAATGGCAGCTTGTTGGTTGAGATAAACTCACGGCCCAAGGGAAGTTGCAACGAGATTGACTCTGGAGGTGATAGTTTCGCAGAAGTGACAACAGATCCACTCGAAATTCGAGGTCTGCCAGTTGCCATCTGTTGCAATTTGGTGGAGCTTGCCCTAGAATCGGGAGCTGATATGATTCTTTGGGCGTTCTGCGAGCAAGGGCGGGCTCGGGCGTGGGCCTTGCGTGTCGGCCATCAAGACACACCTCATCGTACAGTCGTGGAGACCAATGGGAGTTTGAGACAGGTCGATTCTAAGGGCGACTACAATATGACAGAAGAGGAGCAGGTGGTTGCAGCGCCAGATGTTTCTTTTAAATCTTTGACAAGTGCAGAGATTGCTTTAAAGATAAAACCGGACACGACTGGGCAAATACAGCCGACCTACGAACATGGGAGTCTTGTTACTAAGATTGTATTTCGGGAGTGGTAGATGAACTTTATTGAGGACTCGAGAGGGAGCTTGTCTTCTCGTTCAGGAGACAAGAGAATCGGCGATGTTCCGGAAAGACCAGAGATTGCATTACCAGTTGATAGCATCAATAAGTAACATGATAGTATAAGCAGCAGTTGCAAGGATTATTACCGAAGAGTGAACAGGGGTTGGTGCAGCAATGACGTTGGCGTGAAGCTTGAGTTTTTAGTCGTTGTTTCAGCCCAGTACAAGTCCAAGTTCCGATGACGGCGCTGAAACTTAGATATCGCGAGACCCACATCGGAAGCGACGGTTCCGATGTGGAGGCTCTTAAACGGCCGTTGATGTGTTTTACGGACTGAGACCGAAGACTAAAGGAAGATAATCATAGTCCTTAATGAATAAAACTTAAACTAAAGGAATTAGACGGGAACTGAGGGACAGAACTAAAGAGAAAGAAAAAGATGCGGCTGATATTGAGGCTCACCAACAAGCAAGGATGTCAAAGGCATGTAACATGTTCATCCCCTGATCAAAGAAGCAAATAATGAATCGATAATACCTCACCCCAACACCGAGGTATCCCCAACCAACCAAGCGAGTGTCTTGAGCAAAAACAGGTAAATTTGTGATATGCTTATCCTTGTAACACACTCAAGTTCTCGGATGGAGCCGCACGGTTCGCAGCCGCATCCGCAAAGAGTGGATCCTTGAACCGGGTGGCGAGGACCCACTTTGACGGCCCAGCGCCGGAAATCGGGTGCGGCGATATCAATTCATGTGGGGACAAAGTTACCTTTCTCATTGAATGAGAAATCTTTGGGAAAAGAGATGAGATGCGATGGGGAAGTATATAGAGGTGGGCATGGCCCAGTTTATGAAAGACTTATTTCTGTTGAACATCTTGAGACATTAACTTGATTCTCGTACTTTATCTATCTACTCTACTCTCATTGACTCATTATATTAATTAACCATACATACTGAGTATTGTAATACACTATCAAACAAAGAAACAAACAAACAAAATGGATCAACAAAATCCAAATCGCTCTTCAACAACTCTAGAAGGTCGTGAAGACGACACCACCTTCGCCCCCCTAAACACCCACCAAACAACAATGAGCCGCATCCGTCGCTCCCTATCCCACACCCACACACACTCCCACGACGGCTCCCAAAAAGAAACCCGCGATCCGGATCTCGACATCGACCTCCCCTACCGAACCCTCAGCGCCAACGCCAACCTAGACGAGTACCGTGTTGAAGTTCCAGGCGGTGCCATCCCCGGTCCTATCCAGCCTGAGGAGATCGCGAGAAAGTCGACGAACCATGAGCCTGGACAGGAGAGGCGATACAAGCTTGTTACTTTCACGCCTGGGGACAAGGAGAATCCTAAGAATTGGAGCAAGGCTTATAAGTGGTGGTGCACTATGTGTGTGGCGCTGACGTGCTTCGTTGTTGCGTTCTGCTCTAGTGTTATCACGGCTGATATCGCGGGCGTGGTTAAGGATTTGGATGTTAGCAATGAACTTGCTCTTGTGAGTATCAGTCTGTTCGTTGTTGGGTTTGGTGTTGGGCCTATGGTTTTTGCACCTCTTTCAGAGATTTACGGTCGACGAATCATCTAGTAAGTCCATTCAACCATGATATCTGGTGATTATTACTAACGTTGTTTAGTGGCTCTACCCTTCTTGTCGCTGTCATCTTCATCATCCCTTGTGCTGTGGCAAAGAACATTGAGACTCTTCTCGTCTGCCGAGCAATCGATGGTATTGCTTTCTCAGCACCTATGACTCTTGTCGGTGGTACCCTCGCCGATCTCTGGAAGAATGAAGAGCGTGGCGTTCCCATGGCTGCATTCTCCGCCGCTCCCTTCATCGGCCCTGCTAGTAAGTTACCTCTAAACACCTTCACTTCTACACATACTAACAAATCCATCAGTTGGTCCTCTTGTTGGTGGCTTCCTTTCTGATGCTGCTGGTTGGCGCTGGCTCTACTGGATCCAACTCATTCTCGCCTTCGTCGTCTGGGTTCTCATCACCTTCACCGTCCCTGAGACTTATGCCCCTACTCTTCTCGCCCGCCGAGCTCGCAAGCTTCGCGCTGCCACTGGTGAAACCGACCATGTTACAGAGCAGGAACTGGATCTTCGACCTCTCTCCGAGCGTCTTCGAATCTTCCTTATTCGACCTTTCCAGCTCCTCTTCGGCGAGCTCATCGTCTTCCTTATCTCCGTGTACATGAGTGTTCTCTACGGTCTTCTGTACATGTTCTTCGTTGCCTTCCCCATTATCTACCAGAAGGGTAAGGGTTACTCTGCTGGAAAGACTGGCCTCATGTTCATTCCTGTCGCTGTTGGTGTTCTCCTCTCAGCTGCTTGCTCTCCTTGGGTAAACAACCATTACATCTCGCTTGTCAAGAAGCACAACGGCCATCCTCCCGCTGAGGTTCGGCTTATTCCCATGATGGCCTCATGCTGGTTCATTCCTATTGGTCTCTTCATCTTTGCCTGGACTTCATACAAGGAGCTCTCCTGGGCTGGTCCTGCTATGGGTGGTTTCCCCGTCGGCTTTGGCTTCATCTTCCTTTACAACTCTGCCAACAACTACCTTGTCGACTCTTACCAACATCAAGCTGCTTCTGCTCTTGCTGCAAAGACTTGCATCCGAAGTTTCTGGGGCGCCGCAGTTGTTCTCTTCACTGAGCAGATGTATGAGCGTCTTAATGATCAATGGGCCTCAACACTCCTTGCATTCATCAGTCTTGCTTGCTGTGCCATTCCTTTCCTGTTCTGGAAGTATGGTGCCAAGATCCGTGACCGTAGCAAGTACGCCTACGCTGGTGATGACGAGAGTGTCGACGATATCGAGAAGGCCAAGGGCCGTGGCAACACTCGTGGCGGTGCTCAAGTCCGTGATGACTCTGAGGATGAGGATCTTCGCCGTGCTCGCAGCTACGTGAGCAACCCTTAAGCAAATCACTACAAATTGGCTCTCCAACTTGTCCTTTGGACACTTTCACAACAAAAATAGACTGGGACTTAGACTTAGACTCGGGGTGGTACAAGGAGGTCGGACTTTAATGCCTGGACAGGACTTGCATATAGGGATGGTATGCACGGAAAATTATTTAGAGTGGACTTGGATATTTAGCATAATACCCTTGAATTTAGTATCATTTTAATCGACACACTGAACCATCAGTGCCTCTATCACGTGTCTGTGAGAAGTATCCTAGCCTGACGAACGAGACTTTACTGACCATGTGCAGCAGAATCAAAGAACCATTTCTTTTCACCGCCGGAACCGAACCAAAACGGAACGAAAACGAAGAAACAAACACGACGCGCAAACCGCTATCATGGTGCACAGAAACTAGGTT